ACCCCAAACTTGCCTGGAATAACCATTACACAGGTCCTTGAAGTAAAAAACGATCCACGATGAAGATTCAGCCTACAATTGCAGTGAAAACAGGAGGAATAACCGCTAACTTGACAACCTTGCTGGATTGGCCAGGACCGCTATTGGTTTGTGCACAAAAAAAATTGTGTACAATGAATGGCGGTCGATTAACAGGCACAGAGAGCGATCGCTGTCAACTACTCGTTTTTGCCGGCTGCGCAGGCTGTTGGCGCATGACGTCACGCGGAAGCGTAACACCCGATGACTGTTTCATGCACTATTGGTTGCGGTTCCAGTACCAAAGCTGTGATGCGAGTGGTAAACCTTATACTAGTGCATGAAACAGTCATCGGGTGTTACGCTTCCGCGTGACGTCATGTATCACCTATCACTTCTGGGCAGACTGGGACCGTGAGTGCATAAAAACGTGCAAAATTACAACTGACGTTTTTTTACTCACCATTTGGCTAATTAATGCCCACACAACACATACATCAAAATGCTATAGTTGCAAGCATGTCACCTGCAAAATTTGAGACCTTAAATCCAATTTTAAGGCAAGTTTTTGGCAGTTCAAAAACCATCCACGTCATTCTCCATGCTCTAGAAATGTATGTCTGATTCCCAAGGTATTCTGGGTAGGTGCAGGAAGAGCCTTGCAGCTTACTTGTTTTTTAATCGATGGCCAAATGAACATAGCGCCCTCTGTTAAAAAATGAAACATTTTGCATTCACTTAGATCAACAAGAGGGCGCTGTTTTATCTACACGATGAAAATGTTATAGCTGAGGAGTCTTTTTGCACAATGCATTGCAGTGCACATCAACGTGATGTCTCACGTTTGGATTTCGATATCTCTCTGCAAAATTAGAATTAAAAGCTGAATTTTTGGTGATGCAATGCTCACAACAGCAACTTTGCGAGGCAAAAGTTTCGGGGATTATTGAAGAGACTGTAGTGAGTAAGAAGCTTGCAAATTTGATTCACACTGGTTTTATTATGCAGCACAAACTTTTGCACGATATGGATACCTTAAGTTTTGGGACTCTCATACACAGTATTGAGAGTCCCAAATTTTCGGACTAACTTCTGGGATGCTTAGGTCTAATGATGCTCCATTTTCTGAGATATTCTTCAATCTTTCTGGAGCCCATATGCACTCGTGAAACGTCTGGTGATGGCAGCCATTTTGAATGTGACAAGAGATGGCCTCAAGCCGTGACGTCGCGTTTATGCAAATTGCTTGTCGAGCGCGCGAGGGCGCGAGTTGCAAATGCGACGGCTGTTTCCTGTGCCGTAGATCCTGAATAGAGATCGGTGCACATGGCCCCCTGACGATAAATGCATGGTACAGGAAACAGCCGTTGCATTTGCAACTCGCGCCCTCGCGCGCTCGACAAGCAATTTGCATAAACGCGACGTCACAGCTTGAGGTCATCTCTTGTCACATTCAAAATGGCTGCCATCACCAGACGTTACACAAGTGCATATATGGGCTCCAGAAAGATTGAAGAATATCTCGGAAAATGGAACATCATTAGACCTAAGCATCCCAGAAGTGATAGGTGAGACATCATAGAATACAACCATAAAAAAGTAAGAAACTGAGAATGTAAGAAACGGACCGCAGATTTTATGAAAACTTCGTCCTCAGTAGCGCGCGGTACCACGGTGTGTGGCCAGAGGTTCAGCGCAGCATACCGACGGCCACACTAGTGGGGCTAGAGTAACTCCAGCTGACATGCTCCATATTCATTCACATGTAAATGAATATGGAGCATGTCAGCTGGAGTTACTCAAGCTAGTCCGGTGCCCCAAATTCGCGCTGCCCAATATTCGCGCAACCAACTTTCTCGGCTCGTATCTTTTTTTCACACAACACGGAAAGTTGATCCTTCGTCACATCGCCTTTCTTCTCAATGCAGTTATGCGGAAATCAAACGTGTCAAAAGCTTTTCCGAGAAGTAATTTAATGTGTGTCCTAGGCAGGTAAATTAAATAGGCCTTTGTAATCTAGTAAAGACTGTAAAGTAGTAAAGTGCCGATTTATCAGAAATTTGATTTTTATCCAATATCCCGGCCAATATTGCAGGCACATAACTACACAAGTAAGGTGTCTAAACCCTACCACTAGAATTACATGTAGGCCCTATAGTCATGATAGTCGGACTCCCTATTATCGCGGCATCCCTATTATCGCGGCATGGGAAATTTCTCTTTTTGCGTTGCCAAAATTCCTTCAAGTGGCAATTTTTTTCCAGTTCACCAGTCATTAAGGACTTTTTGCCAAGTTGTATAAAAAGGACACGATTAAAAATGTTTGTGTCTTTCGGGACTTTTAACGATTTTTAACCCTAACCGCCCTGAATCCTCCAAAATCCTTTGTGCAAATTTGAGGAATTTGCAGGATTGAGGTTACATGGCCAAAGCGCGTTGCTGATTTCGGAGTACACACTGTGTCAAGGTCTTGGGCCAGACCTTGTGTTGTTTATGCCCAGCCGTGCATAAATTTAGTCCTTGATTATACTTGACATCCTCCGCACTACTCCAGGATGTCACTGCCTCTGCCTCAGCCTAATGACAGTCATAGCCGGAGGATTTTGCAGGATTCAGGCAGTGGTCACCCCTCCATGGACCATATTCAAGAGACTTTATTCAGGGGATGGTTTGGTCAAACATTAACTGTAAATAAAAAAGTTGAGATCATTATAAAAAACACTTCCTGCATACCGCGATAATAGGGAGTCCACCTCCGTTCGCACACTCCGAGCATGTCTATTTTCACAGGCGTCGTACACGTAATAAACAACACCACCGTCGGAATTTTTTTATATCAATTTGAAAAGGAAGAGTTATACTACACAAAAGACGGGACAATTCGGGAAGGTTAGTGGGGAATCTCTATTCCGAATGAGAAACGTGATAAGTACCGCAATAATATGGCAACCCATCCTAATACCCATCAAGGTACGGTAGGCATATCAACGGGAACATGCTGTATACTCCACGAATAATATGGAGGTGAGTTTTGGAGTGGCCGCTGTATAATTGTACTCCAAGACTATGCCCAGTGGGCTACTTCTTGACATACTCACGTTCTGTCCGCTAAAAACTTAGTGTATGGGTTGAATCGATCCCGATGGTGGAAAAAGAAATGAAGAAAACAGTCCCTTTCTGTACTAGTCCCATAAATGCGACGGTAATACTGGACTACCTCCGTATTAACCGTCACAAATCCACATGTATTATTTGGACGAAGAGTCCGTTGCTAAGGGAGCCGAAAATCCATTCGAAATTGCAATTATTTGTCACTTTATACTCACACAATGCCTCCTACAAGTACAACTGCTTATATATCAACAAAACATTAAATTCGGCACCTTCAGAGGTCTAGTTATCTTGTAATTTCGAGTTGAATTCGGATGACTTTTACAGCCATTGTTCACGAAAGCGTTGTGTTGCATGACGTCATGGTTTGTGATAAATTGCGCCCACTAGCTTGCATCAAACTTTGACAATGTGCATTTGTACGGCTGTTGCCTGTCATTCAGTTTTGGTCAAAAGTGCGCCCGCATAACATGCACTTTTGATTAGAAGACCATTCACGAAGTAACTATGTGTGTTTTTGGCATGAAAATATGTATCTTCTATAGTGCCGGTTTATCAGAAATTTGATTTCAATATTTTATTCAATTTCAGCCAATATAACAGTTTATTTTGAATATGATGGCTTACAATCAACTTTGATCATTACTGCTTATATCAAAAACCCATCTGTCAACATTAGCTGCAACATTGGCTGAGATATTGGCTAAAAATCTATTTTCTGATAAATCAGCACTTTAGAATTTACTTTTTTACCTGCCAAGGACACACATAGAACTTTATTTCGTGTATGGTGTTCTAATGATACCTGATCCTCAAACATGGGTTAAGACACCTTGTTTGTGTAGTTATGTGCAATATTGGCCGAGATATTGGCTAAAAATCAAATTTCTGATAAATCAGCACTTTAGAATTTGCATTTTTACCTGCCTAGGACACACATAGTTACTTTGTGAATGGCCTCCTGATGATACTTGACCCTCAAAACATGGGGTTTAGACACCTTACTTGTGTAGTTATGTGCTATATTGGCCGAGATATGCCAAAAACATGAATTTCTGGTATTAGCAGCACTAATTTGCATATTCCTATGCCACAGACACATGTGGTCACTTCCAGAATAGTTTTATTGTGAACTCTGACCCTGAAAACATGGGTTTAGACACCTAATTTGTTCAGTTATCTGCAATATTGGCTAAGATATAGTGAAAAATTGCTTTTTTGGTAATGATGACACTAATTTGCATAAAAACAATATGTGGGACAGTCCCACATATTGTTTTTATCTGCTAGGCATAATTCCTTGATGTCATTGGCCGCTGTGTGTGGATACCTACAGGATTTTAGGGTGAAATTACAAGTGGAAAGGGTACTTACCTTTTGTGTTGTGGAGTCATTTGTCATCTCGGCGCCATCTTGCTGGATCCCATCATAAACAACTAGCAAAAAATAAACAACGGGCAAAAACAAGCAAAAACTATGTGTATATCAATTCAAATTTTTGGGGATCACATCAGCATTGGGGATGTTCAGCATGACATGAATGCGTTCTGTCATTCAAATACAAAACAACAGTCCAAAACCATCTTGGAAAGGAACTGAAAATTTCACTTTAAATCCAAATCAAAAGCTAATCTTAGTATCAGAAGGTCAGTCTTTGATACCTGCAAATGTACTGATATCTGAGACAGTTTTATGGTTGTGGAAGCTGAAATCAGTTGGGTATATAACATTTGTCTGCAAAGGGCAAACCCAATATTCAATATTTGAAGTATTTCTAAAGGGATTAGAAAAATGACAATGCGTATGTTTACAACAACATAAAGATCACAGATCAGTCCTAAATTCTACATGTTATTTTCATTTTCTTCAAGGTTTCAAATTGATGTCTGGGTCACATATGAAATACTCTCTACACATGTACACAGAGTTTGTTTAAGCTGCTGTTACTGTTTCCTTGGAGATTGCATCAAAGAGAGCAATGGCAGATAAAATGGAGTTTGAGTTTGATAATCCAAGCAAGGTAAGAGATAAGGTTGTAGTTTAAAAAGCAATATCAGGAGTATGGAGGACAAAAATTGGACATTATTTTTTCTGCTATCAGAATATCAGAAAAGCAGATTGAATGTTTTTGAAAGATCCATTTTCTACTTTCCTGTCTTTCTGCTACCAGAAAAGAAGAATTTACTTTCCAATAATATCCACTTTTCTGCTTTTCTGCTTGTCTGGTACCTGACTTTACCTCTTTTTGTTGGCAGAAGAAAAGTGAACAAAAAAATCTGCTTTTTTAGCTCAAGTAGCAGGATATCAATTGAATGTTTTCAACATATCCATTTTCTGCTTTTTAGCCCTTTCTCATTTCATAAAAACAAGACAAGCAGATCAAACGTTTTGACAATGACTGTGTTTTCTACATTTCTGTTTTTCCAGACAACGGAAAAGCAGCTTTTATTGTAGGTGGCTAAGAAGTGGCCATTTGCTTTTCTGCTTTCAGACATGTCAGAGGACCATTCCAATCAAACGTTTCGGTTACGACCATTTTTCTGCTTTCTAGTGGCTAAGCGACCCCTGAACACAATTTACGAAGGTCCACCCTACCAGTATATGGAAAAAATGAAAGAGTCCAATGTTTTCTTGGAAATCTTTTGCGGGTAGCCGCAAAACTCGAGTGGTTATTTTCCTTTGAGGCACCGCCAGCAAAGCCTACGAATGTCTTATGGTTCAGGTCGATTCAGTGTCTCATTCAACATGTTCAAAGGTTAATAACTTGCATATCGCCACATGCTATCTTAAAAAAATCATAACTTGAAAACTTTAAGAGCGCCCATTACAAAAGTTTCAATGATTGTTGCTTACATCATAAACTAACAACTGAAAAAAATAACGAAATTTGAAGCATATTTATTTTGGTAATTCAAGGTTAAAGGTCATTTCATTATGCATTTTCTCTGAGCTTCATGGTACGATTTTGGTTTTAGTTTATGAAATGGAGGCCATTCAAAGGGCTTTAATATGATGTACAACTTGGCTTTGTATGTGCTATAGTTTTGGAGATACAAGTGTTTAAAGTTCAGAGGTAATTCTTATTAGTCAAAAGTTTGTTTACCCGTATCACAAAAACTAACGAGTCAAAGTACCAAAAAAAAAAATCAGTTCTGGGGGTTTCTTATGTAGGCCGATCATCCCACCAAATATCGTTTCAATCTGTGAGGGTCGGGTCCAAAATTGTGTTGAATTGACACGGAATGATCCACCAATGTTACGGCCATTTCAAGTGGCACTACACCCAAATCGGCCAACATGGGCATCGACCTGAAGCACAAGACATTTGTAGGCTTTGCTGGCGGCGCCTCAAAGGAAATTAACCACGTGAGTTTCGTGTCTACCTCCAAAAAGACTTCCGAGGAAGCATCTGAATCTGTCATTTTTTCCATATGGCAGGGTGAACCTTGGCAAATTGTGTTCAGCCTTCTGTTAGCCACTAGTTCAATCTGCTTTCCTGCTACTTGAGCTAGAAAAAGCATATGTCCACTCTTAGTCTGCCAACAAAAGGAGGAAAAGTCCTGACAAACACAATTACATGTAACAGCTATCCATGAGTGGGTCTGTATATCGGTCTGACTGGGCCTGGGCCAATTACGCACAAGAACCCATTCGGCATATGTGGGCACAATGGCCAATCATGTGTCACGTGAAATGCGGAGGTGTTCTTCAAAATGGTCGTTGGATTAACTTGGGTGATTGGAGCAAGGTCGTTTTCCAAACCCCAGTTTGGCCTCCCTATCCTGGCCCAGCCCCATTGCCAACCTGCATGAATGGAGAAAGAGACAGAGCCAAAGCCAGGGGTTGGAAAACAGCCCCTAGTCTGGTTCCGGCGTCAGGCTCACAGACGTAAACACACTAGGATTGTCATATCACATCAGGGAAGCAAACTATATGCATAGTACACGTACATGTATTTTACCACAAATCTGCCACGTTGCACGTTGTACCGTCCATGTTCGCTTGTCCAAAATTGACAGCCTGAGAAGAATTTTTGGCATTTTGTGCCCAAGTTATATCTTGTTTGTGACAAAAATGTTGTCTGTTTACAATAAGTAGTCGTACTCGGACTCGTACTCTGAAGTACTCGTACTCGTACTCAGAAGTACAATACTTGTACTCGGAGACCTGTACTTGTACTCGGAAGTACTCGTACCTGTACCCGTACTCGGCAACCTAAGTACTCGGCAGTACTCGGTACTCGGAGAAAAAAGTACTCGACTACAACACTGCTTACCAGTCCTAAATTCTGTATGATAGCCTTTACCAAGTCTGTCTACTTGTTAATTCCCTGAACGAGCAGCCGCAGCTACCGAACAGTACAGCTTAAATTTGTCCAGTACCCATTGCACTGTGCTTGCAAATTGCCACGGTACACAGCGCCGCGTACACACTAGCCTCAACGATCCCTTTGCTCATGGACAAATCAGCCTGAGCGGTACGGTAGCAGCCGCTCGTTCTGGGAACAACTTGGTCAAGGCTACTGGGATGACCGTATCCCCGTATGTTAAAGTTTAGGTTAAGTTTTTGAAAAAATGTATGCTTTCGTGGATTTTGATTCATGAAATGTGGATGCAGTGACCCTTGGGTGGGAAGACACACAATTGTTTGTTGGATTACAGCTCTAGGTCAAAAGGCATGTAGGGGTCATTAGAGGTCATTGTTCAAATATGCTGCATGTTTCTTTGTCTACAGAATTTGATGGATTTTAAAGTAAATTGGATGGAGTGATCAGGGTGGGGGTTCATGACAAATCTTCAGAAGTTGGAGGTCAAAGGTCATCTAGGGGTCATTTTTAGGTCGTTTAAAAATGTTCAAAATTTGACTTTTTTTTCCGACAGAATTGAATGGGTGTTCATTAACATTGCTGATAATTAAGGTTTAGGGCTGCTGATGTGTTGTTTTGACGATGTTACGTGTCAAAGCTCATCCAGGGGTCAATTTAGGTCATAAGTCGCGATGGAGAAAATGTAAAAATGCTATTGTTTAATAGAAACAAGTAGTAATTCCAGGTGCCAATTATTTCTTTAACTGAAAATGAACAGCTGCCAAAAATAGGAACCCAAAACAAATAGGGATTGACCGCAAAAAAGGCGACACATGAAAAATAGATCTTTCAAAAATCGTTCAATCTAGGGTACCGTACGTTTCTGACATTCTGATAGCAGAAAAGCAGATGTCTACTTTTCGTCCTCCAAATAGGAGGTTAGTAAGGCCCAGTAATTAATCAATGCAGTGGTCATTGTTTAATAACCACATCTAAACTTTAGACACAAGTGATATGGTTGTAAATCTAAATATGTACCTATAACGTGAAGACAAAAAGTTAGGCCAAGAAAAACAAATGTTGCGTTTCCTACCGGTATTATATTTTTTGTAAAATAGGGTGGGTGATTGGTTGTTGTTGTTTTTTTTCGCATGCATTCGTAACAGTAACAAGGATGCCAGTTTTCAGGCTATACACTTATATAGCCTGAATTCAGGCTTTTTCAAGTTTGGAAAAACAAACTCAGGCATTCCGTCCCTTTGCAGGGCGGAAAAAGAAATCCTCTTTTCTTTGTGCACACATAGAAAAAAATAGCAATAGCATACGAATTACGATGCTCCATGGCAAGTGCTGTGCTACATGTAGCTCTATACATTAAGGCCAAAAAAGAAAAAAATTCTGCTTCCAATTACATGGCATTTAAAAATAAAAATAGTGTAGGTACCCTGTAGGTAGGAAATTTGTTTGGCGTCGGCTTGGGTAAAAGGTAGAAATTGATGGTTTTCTGTTTTTGCCCTCATTCCTCCCCCCCCCCCCCCCCAACAAAATTAGGGTATGTAGTCAAAATAGGGTAGGTAGGGTAACCGTAAGCAGAACTATTTCTTTTTTTTGGGGCAAAATGTATGAGTTGTAATGTAAGAATCAGCATGTAGACATGTATGTACACACGTTTGGTATTGCAATGTGTTTATGGTGTATTGCATTGCAATAGTTTTGTGCAGCATTCATGCTTGCTGTCTTTCACATGTCCAATTTTTCAGCACGAAACCTGAGTTACGACATGTAACACGTTGCAACTCGTGATGCATTATATGATCCATTTTATGAAAATTGCGATGTGTTGGAACGCATCGTAAGTTCTTTGACAATGGCTTAAAACATGTTGCAAGTTACGACGTGTCTTAGTGGTCATCGCAAAATCATCCTTTTCTTAGCCAGTTTTATGCGTTGAAAAAAATACATTTATGAACAAGACTATAATACCGAGACAATGTGTGTTTAGTTGTAAATAGAAAATGCATTAGGGCAATTCCACGGTTACTCACGTTACGTTTTTGATGTACTTTTGATGTACTGTATGTATGATAAACAAGATGCACAAAATCGGTTACTCATGTTACATTTTCGTAACGTGAGTAACCGATTTTGTGCATCTTGTTTATCATACATAACACATTTTTCTGGATGTCATCTTTGGTGCTTAGGTAGGTCTAGGTCTACTCTATCTACCATGGGGATAACAGTTATTAAACCTTTTCAGTAAGGTAATTACAGCCCAAGGAAACTCACAAGTACATCAAAAATGTAATGTGAGTAACCATGGAATTGCCCATTTAATAATTATGAATTAGCGTGGAATATTGCAGTTGAAATCTCAAAGTACAAATGTAGCTATTCCACTGATATCTTTTTTTCCTTTAAAATTGCATCACACATCCGCCATTTTGTTTTACGTTTGAAAACTTTTCGAGAGGAGATCCAACGACTCTTTGTTGAATTTCAGAGGACTTTTTACTGTACGGTGAAATAAATACATTTAACAGTCACCGAGTCGTACGACGCGTCGCACTTACGACATGCACATGTATTGTGAAATGGATCACATAACGCGTCGCAGCTGTGACGTGGGATACAACGTGTAGGGATACAACGTGTAGGGATACAACGTGTGGCAGCGCTGCGATGCATCATAAGTTACGATGAGTTTCATGAAATCGGGTGCAGGCCCTGGAGCAAAACAACACTGGCATCCCTTCAGTTAACAATAGTGCTGCAGCTGAAATGCCAAACATTGCACTTCCAGACTGAATCCAACTGAAATCACTTGTTCAGTTTGGCATGTTTGGAAACACGATTCTTAGCACTGTGTATTTCTATTTCGTGACCAAAATAATCCAACCTTGATGGTGAATGGACGAATCAGAATTGGGTTCTCGCTCATGAATGACTTCTAATCTAAGTTAAACATGAAACATACTTTTTACCAATTTGCTTCAGGATAATCAACAGTTTCAAGGCTCTGAGGATCAAAACACAAACCCACAAAGTTTGGTAAGAAGGTTTGTGGTGATGTGTAGTTTGCCACAGGAGGCTGTGTGGTGCAGTTTGTGTGTTTTGTGAATGATATGAAGCAACATTTGTTTAGCTCAGTGAGTTTCCCAGCAACACTTTTGTAGTTTCTTTTTCTTTGTCCAAGTGATGTGCAGCTGCTTACATTGTGTTTTAATTGTCCACGTTTTGTGCTGTTCATTCCCCAGCCACATACATGTTTTGGCCAAAATGTAAACCAGATGTACTTTCAGGTGCTGGTTGATTAATTCACGCTTTAATCAATGTGTCTCACATGCTGCTTACACATGTACAAGTATGTATGTGTAGTGTGACTAATTATATCAGTTGCTGTTCTTCTGTAATGAGCCTTATGAGCATTTAAAATGTTATACCAGTATCTGCCAACTGCGTTGGCCTATTTCATCCAAATTGGACAGGATCTTCCCTGACTGGAGTCCTATCTTAGGAGTAGCATGTAGAGTCAACCACAAGCGGTCATTTTTTTCCAAATGTAGGACCCTATGCTTCTTCTCCCACAGTCTTGATCCAATTAATGCCAAACTTGGTCAGTTACAAGCTTCATATAGGGTGTACACATAATTTGGCCAATGTCTCCTATTGGTCAGAAGGGGTCATTTTATACAGAAACATGTAAAATGCTTCGTTTGCCAACTTTCTTCATTTGAATCAATGTTGGTAAATTACATCCTTAAAGGGAAGGTACAACATTTGCAAACATCACAAAACGAAATGATCAAATTATTTACTGGATTGTTATGGAATGACAATCTAAAGCATCCTGTAAAATCGTGACTCCTGGTGTGCTGTCATTTTCAAGAAAAATGGTATTTTTTCAACGCTGGTTGGCAGACCAGCATTGGAGAAAACTGGCTTTTTTTCAAAAGCTGCCCCTAAATTTTCCTAATTTGTTATTCCGCATTTGCTTTGCAATTGATTAGGGCCTACACACCTGTGAAGGGGTACAAGCCTGCTAGACTGAATCTTTAACCATACAAGTTCCCAAAGTCTATAAATTGCTCCGATTCATCTTAAGTGGGGTTAGGGAACCAGACTACAAGAACATGATTACCACGGTAATTTTCTTCCTGAAACAAGTCATTTTAATATTATTTGCAATAACAAACTGATCCTCCAATTTATTTATATCTGAAATTTGCAGCAAAAGCAAATGTTGTACATTCCCTTTAACCCATGCCCCGTGCAGGATTTTGGCAGATTTGAGGCAGTGGTCACTTATAGTGGTCAGTCAGTGGTATTTTTGTTATAATCATACCTGCTGAAATTGAGTGCAAAGGTCACTTAGTGGTCAGCTTAAGAGTTGCGAACTCATCAGTTTTCAAAGTACAGTACATTTGTAAATTATTTGTTCATGGAAACTGGAAAGTAGACAAACCAAGCTTTCAGACACACTTTTTGCTTTTTATCTACTGCACTTGGATTTATTTTTATCAAGCCTTGAAGTTTCGAGAAACAGAAGTAGCGTTTTCCTCTATTTTGTGATGGAAATTTGAGTTCCCCTCTGTTACAGTTCTTAATGCTTCAAAGATTTTATTTTTGGTTGACAATGAAGTCTGATGCCATCCCTATCCACCAATATAAAATTTTAAACCAAAAGATGAAACATGACAGTCTTGCACCATTTTGAAAAAAACATGTTGCAATGTCCCATCTGTCACAAAAAAAAACACGAAAAAGTTTTGTATTTTTTACATGAAAAGATATTTTTAGTTAAAACTTGAATTTCTATCTTCTATCAATGTGACCCCATCTACCGTAGAAAGTAAAATGAAATAAAAAAAAAAAAAATAAAAATATCCTTTAATGTAGAGTTGATCCAACATTCCATCTCAAACTCTGTCCCGTCTGTCACATTTTACCCACTGTTATAATTTTGTCCCGTCTGTCACATTTTGTCAATCACCTTTAGGTTAAAAAAAAAGTTGAACGTACATGTTTTGTAGACTCTTTCGGTTTTTATACTACATGTCCTTCTTAAAAATAAGAAATGCTTGTACAATGTACCTACATTTATTCAACATATAAAAATGTCCTGTCTGTCACGTCCCATCTGTCATTAATGTAGCCTGGTGTTTCCAGTTCTATGTTTTAAGTAACTAAGTAAAGTGTTCACTGATTATTGGCTTAAGAGTGATTAACTTTAAAAGAAAAAAAAACATTAAGTTTCCCAGGGAAACAGATAGCTTTTTCCAGTGAAAGTCATTTTCAAAATATGGAGTGTAATTTCCGTCCCGTCTGTCACGTTCATTTTACTTTGACGCTATGCAGCCACCGAATCCTCTAGTTTCATGGATTGTTTTTTAGTTTTAAATATAGAGTGTTTACGTTATACATAGCTTAGATGGTTACACCTTACATATTGGTTGTGGCAGGCCTTTGAAAAAAAAAAGGTAGTGAAAATCTGTCCTGTCTGTCACGCCGGAATTGGCCACTGGGGAAAAAAAATCCGGGAAAGCTTAGGCCTGCTTTCGCTATGTGCAGTCCTTACAGTGTCCTGGCATGAAATTGTGAGTGAGCACTTTACAGTTTGATTAGCACTGGCTACTACATGTATGTATTAAGTGCTTTAGAAGCGCATTGTGCTGTAGTCATCGTCTGTTTTGACTTTGAGCAATCATTCACATTCCAGTTTTATTTTGCATGCAATGTGTGTTTGAACACACTGGTTTCCTACCATGTTGACTTTGTCTAGAATTATGTTGGCACCAAGTACATGTACCTTTCTGTATTTTGGAGCATTCAGTGCTTGTCCGATCTGACCCTATTACACCAAATTACCATGGTTGTCATAATAGTGCCCATCAACACAAGTTTAAAAGGTGTCATGTGCCCTCCCATTGTCAACAAATTTGTTGTATAGTCCATGAAAAAACGCTGTTGTATGATCCACATGAAGGATATTCTCTAGGCTGATTTGCTGGGGGAAAAGCAAATAATATAACTTTTTGGGGGCGCATTTCTATGACATTTCTTCTTCAATCTTAAACAGTATAAAGTAATATGACAATTATACCCATGCATTACATTTTCCCACAAAACAACGGCCAATATACGAGTGCCTTCTATGAGTTGTAAGTTTGCAGTCAGTGTTACATGTATGCTCCAGACAAATAAAATAGTGAGTGGGTATTAGTTTGGATTACCAGGGATCAGGGTGGCTGTGATTAAAGGCCTTTTCACATTGTCCAAAATCCTGTTCCTGCTTCTAAAATGTCATCCCAGTTCTGACCCAGGTAGCTTGCTCTAGTCAGATTGAAATCAACCCGGGCAGGGACCAGGGTTGGAAATCTCAACCCGGATCGAAATTGCATTTTTCGGCATGAATCGTCGAAAATGATAGTGTGAACCACCCCGAGTTGAGTCACTCGCGACCGATCCGTGTTGCGTTGAGGCCGACATTCTACCGAAAAATCACAAACACCGATCATGAGACAATCGCTCCCTAATTATCATCCAAAAATAGCTCGGAGTATGGAGCATCCTTTACAGAACCTGGGCTTGTATATTTTTACGTCTGCAAAATGTACAAAAAAAAGTACATTTCTAACGTTAAATCATGTAAATAGAACGACTCGTCTAATGAAATGAGTGGAGCCATTTTGGAAATATTGTTGCACACAGCTAGCTGGTGTCATACGTGAAAATCAAACCCTCTCATGTGACCGGTCCTCCTAATTATCATACTTAGGCATGCGCAATACTACCAATGAGTACGTATTTCACAGAGTAGTAAATTCACACTGCACACCAGATTGTCGGTTAGCGTCGTGCACGCGGCTGAGCCGCGTGCGTCGCAATGCATTATGGGATTGAGAAAATCACCACAGCGCCCCGTTGCCAAATGCGATCCGTGTTGAGAATTTGTAGTGTAAATACGCAGGGGCCCTAGCCGGATTGAACGTTACACGGTTCATGTAGCGGCCGTTCCCGTTAAGAACAGTGTAAACGTTGCGTCTCTCTGATCCGTGTCGAAAACAACCCAGGCTGAACTGTGTTGGAACCGGGTTGGTTTCAACACGGTTGAAACAGAGATAGTGTGAAAAGGCCTTAACTCTTATTACCTGCATAATTCATACATGTGGTACTTGTTATGGGTGAGGCTATAGCCATTACTAAAGAATAGTTGGTGTCACAGACTTTGTGTCTTGGGACTGGGGAAGTATGGGGCCCTGACACCAGATCTACGATTCTGAAGGTTATTTATTCGCCTAAACAGGCGCATCGTGGATCCATCACCTATACAGGCTACTCCGCTGTATTTTCCAGCTCTTACATTAAATTGATAGTGAAGCTACCAAAGAAAGGTGGCTTAACTGACTGCTGCAACTAGAGAGGGATCATTGTTACCAATGGCTGGTACCGGTCAATTGTTGGGAAGAATCATCCTTATTAAAACAGGTATTGATATTAATCTCTGACCCGAACAAGCAGGTCTTCGAGAAGGAAAGAGCACAGCTGAGCAGATCTTCATCCTGAGAAACATAATTAAACAATCCATCGAGTACCAATCTTCATCGACTTCAAAAAGGCTTTGATTCAATTCAGTTTAACTTTATTATCTGTTACAGGAAATTCTTTTTGGCTTTTAATGTCACACTCATTCATTAGTACATTAAAAATGCAATACATTGTAGATATTGCACATAAAAACACAATACTTCCCTTACTTCAATACTAAAAAAAACAAGAGAGGAATACAAATGTATGCTATTATTAACCTTAACTTATTTAAGTTTTCAAGACTATTCGGGTTAAAATTAAGAACAGATAAAGTAAAGTGCAAAACTTACAGTAACACATTTAAAATCCAGAGGGCAAACGAAAGAGAATCAAAAGCCAAATAATAGAGATGTTGTTAGTTATCAGAGTGTAAACTGAAGAAATGTGCAACAAAGTTAGCAAGTGTACTAAGCCCAGTGTCATAACATGCTGCTTAACAAGCAGACAAATTGTGCTAACCATAGCACTATTTCATGGCATGGATGTGCTGACAGTTGCACCCATTTGGAGATTTCAATTGTTACATCACTATTAAAGTTAATTAGCAACTAAGTATGCCTTTTGCTGTGCTTACTACTTACAGTCTTCATGAAATAGACAGAGGCTCTGTTAACAGAAATCGGTGTGCTTAGCAGTGCCATAAAATTGGACCCTAAACTTGATCTCCCTACTGGTAGTTTACCCTTACTTCACTTATTATATTTATGAATCTGATCAGTGGACCGTACATCAAAAGCTACACGTACACGTATGCCTAAATTTATCAATCTTCAGCTTACGTTGATCTTTTGGAATTGATTGTTGATTAGTGAAGTGCAAAGAACACAAATGCCAAAGATTAACCATCAAAGTTCATTGTTGAATTGACAACAGCCCCGCAGTATGTGCGGTACTTTTTATAGGAACATGTATTCATGCAACCTTACCAGGTTTTGGCATGATACAGTCGCCACAACACTTTTTATCTCGGTCTGTTTTGTATTACCGGTATATGCACATAAATGAACTGGCTCAGGCATGTTAATGCATGGAATGTAAGTCACTGTTCAATGTTTGATTTCAACTGGATTTATACCAGTGTACATTTTGTGTTGTGTTTTGGTTGATAATGTGTTAATGTAGTGTTTTTGTATGTAAATGTACATGTATATTGAAAGCAGTTGAAGAGAGTTTAGATTTCATAGTTTAGTTCTGGTCCATAAAAGAATCCGGTTTGGAAGTGGAACCGTCTCCTGGGAAGTTCAATGAAACACATAAGCCCCTGAAATTGCATGCATAAACGGTACTGTATCACCCTGTCAAAATGATGCTCCGTGGCACCTCGATCACTCGGCAATACGTGTTATTCCATTACAAAATTAGGTTTCAAATATGTGATTTTTTTCCTGTGAAACCATGGAGATCATGTTTTGAAATTCAAATTTATAGTATATTTTATTTATCGCAACGAGCTGACGACTGTCGACTGTGTGGATTCATTGTATATGGTTATGATTCCCAGCCTATCAGGTTTCAAACAGAGTGATCTCACTATGAGACTCATGTTATTGTTGATTTGTTGCATCATATTCATAGGACTTAAGCTCCTTTGCAATGCCCTTCCTTGAGAGTGAAGAACAAATGGAAGAACCAGAAGGAGAGAAGAAACCACTTGTTAGTAGGTCAGGAAGTCAGAGTGGATCCTCATCCCCACAGAGCCCTCTGGAATCTAGAAGATACACATTCCCTTCCAAACCCGTAAGTATTCGTACAAAAACAACATGGTTTGAGTTTGAAGAAGTGTCAAACTACTGGTGCTGATGTGTTGGCTGGTTTGACTTCCTTCTGATGTGAAGCAGAGGGAGGTAGTCAAAACCAGCCAACAAAGAGGGACCAGTCATTTCACACTTTGTCTTCAGATAAATCATGTTGTATTTGCTCTATTTCACCTCATCATATTTAGTTTCATTATCAAAGGGAGAAAATGCCATTGAGAAATCCCTTAGTAATTACCCAAAATACAGATAGGACTGGATATTCCTGAGAAATTATTCCTTTTGAAATTAAATCGTTTAGAAGAAAACAATGAGTGAAGCTCTTTTAAGTGACTTTTTTTGCCAATGTTTACTATTAAATGTTCACTGGCCTCAATGATCAAATGTAGTCACATGATATTGACGGAATTCGTAACTGAACCAAATTTTTATCCAGCTATAATGAAAATGTACATAAAGTCATGTTCATGTCCATTTGAATCTCATGATGCACCACATGGCTGTTCTTTAGCTATAGACTCAATCCACTAGTACCCCCTCAAAACTGAGGTACATGTAAACCACTCAAAGGGACTGAACACATTGCCAACGGTGCCTGAGGTACATGTAAACCACTCAGAGGGACTGAACACATTGCCAACAGTGCCTGAGGTACATGTAAACCACTCAGAGGGACTGAACACATTGCCAACGGTGCCTGAGGTACATGTAAACCACTCAGAGGGACTGAACACATTGCCAACGGTGCCTGAGGTACATGTAAACCACTCAGAGGGACTGAACACATTGCCAACGGTGCCTGAGGTACATGTAAACCACTCAGAGGGACTGAACACATTGCCAACGGTGCCTGAGGTACATGTAAACCACTCAGAGGGACTGAACACATTGCCAACGGTGCCTGAGGTACATGTAAACCACTCAGAGGGACTGAACACATTGCCAACGGTGCCTGAGGTACATGTAAACCACTCAGAGGGACTGAACACATTGCCAACGGTGCCTGAGGTACATGTAAACCACTCAGAGGGACTGAACACATTGCCAACGGTGCCTGAGGTACATGTAAACCACTCAGAGGGACTGAACACATTGCCAACGGTGCCTGAGGTACATGTAAACCACTCAGAGGGACTGAACACATTGCCAACGGTGCCTGAGGTACATGTAAACCACTCAGAGGGACTGAACACATTGCCAATGGTGCCTGACACTTGCAGAAAGACGCTATGGGGTTGTGCACATTCAGAATAAAATTGATCATGCATTCTTGGCACTATACACATGCCAAGTCGTGCACCCGTTTGGTGTATCCCTCCATATGGAGCTCTTGTTAGCGGTGACAAAACGCCATCTACTGATCATGCTCGGGTCTACCTTTCAATTGGTTTGTAGATGAAGAGACGGTGGAATAGTGGTCCTACTGCCCAGACATCCAGTTTGCCTGGCAAAGTGATGTACACAAGTCCCCAGCCACGTACAGGTCAGCTCCATTCTCATGTTCTGTCAATGATTCTCCAAAGTATCTGCCATTTTAGCTTGATGGTACATGTATTTGTAGTTTATCGCCAGTAATACACCCCAGCAGGGTTCAACATTAACTTTTTTTCACTAGCCAGCCGGGCTACTGAAACAGACTCTTAACTTCTAGCCCGCAGGCATTTTCACTAGCCTGCATGTTTTTTTCTTTCATAGAGCGTCTCATAAACATCAGTGTGCATACATGTAAAACCTGTATAGAGCCTGAAAGTTGACCTCTGGTGGCGCGCTTCAGGGCCCCTTGAATAGAAAAATTAGCATGTAAAAGTCAGAGTTTTTAAAATTAGTTTGGTACATTGATTTCTTAAGAAAATCACCCTCGGAAAAGGCCTTTTGTAAAGTTGTTACTAGCATCTCAATTTATGGAAACTGAAAAATCGCATGACATGAAAGAGAAATATCATGCCAAAAATGGATCTCTCACTTCTGAATACTTCCGTGTGGACTTGTTGAAATTGATCACTCGTTCAGGAATGAATATTTATGAAATAATTTTGTGGCGGTCATTGGGTAAAAACTTAAACTTGAACAGGAGACTAAAATGTCTTTTGGGACGGACAATTTTTTTGAATAAACTTGATGGGCTGATTTTCATTTACAAACAAATCTAAAATGACTGTTGATAAGAACTGTATTAAAACGTGATCCAAATTAGCCTGAATAATTCTAGAATCCATCGGATGTAGGTAAATCTTCATGTCGTTATCATTTTCATCTCATGTAAGTACACGATGTGAAAACAGACGTGATCCAAAAAGGAGACCTTGGAAAGAAAATAGGTCGTAAGTAAAATTTGTTTTTGGCCATTTCCGACTGATTTCTCATCATTTTTTCCTAGTGAAATGCCAAGATAAAATTCAAATATGAATGTTTCTCGGGATGAGTACAGTTAAAAATCATTTTGTCAAAAATTTTAGCAAGAGAAAGGGCAACCCTGTGTAAAATGCCTGTATAAGGGTCATGGAGGGTTCTGGAAGCTCAAAGACAAAATGGTGTACTTTCAGGTTCTATTTTGAGGCAATTTTGTCAGTGTTTTTAATAAACAGATCTAATAATTTAACCCTTTAAAACAGTTCATAAAATTAGACACAAATTGATACAGGTTTGCTTTCTGAATTTAATGATTTATTTCTTCCTGTGCTTTCATCTTTGCCGTATCCCACAAATTTTTTTGACTCGCCAGCCGGGCTACTAATAGTTTGACTAGCCCGCCGCTGTTTTGATTAGCATTTGGCTAGTAGGCTACCGCTACTTTTGAACCCTGCCCAGTGACTTGATGTCAAGGAGAATGACAAGGCAAAACCATTTTTTTTTTCAAAATGATAACAGTGCATATGAGTAATGGATAATTTAATGAACAATTAGAAGTTGATAATTTCCAAATCTTCCCAATGACTACTTCTGGTTTCAATACATTACATTCACTGCTATTTTTTTTTTTTTTTACGTTTCTTAATATAAAAACTAAATCTTGTTTCAAGAAATAGTTTCTTGCTCACTTCCAAGAAAATGTTTATAAGGGATTAAGACCAAAAATTATCTTGGAATAAGATTATTTCTAATTTGCAAAATACAAGATTTACAACCTTTTTTCAATTTTGTTTTGTTCAATGTTCAGGTGTTTCGCCAATTTTTAAAAATGATTTTTGATATTAAAAAAAAACAAGCAAGTCTGCAGTTTTCTCCTCTCTCACTAAAAAATGGGAACAGTGTGATTGCATGAGCTACATGTAGGTTTCACTTTACACTGTTGTAGTAACTGTGCATTGTCGAAAAATGTAAAAAAAAAAAAATTAGATTTTTGAACTTGGATTTGATCGAATGTTTAAATATTCCTATATTGACATTGAGGTAAAAGGAAACGAACATCATGTATGGATCGATACATTTATTTGAGGTAGCTGACTAGTTGATGTTTGACAGGTAAGTTTTGAAGTATATGTAGGGCTAATTCTCCCCACGAAAGCTCTCAAATCATGTTTGTAATGTGGCTGCTTTCAAAAATCTGGCATTTGACAAAGAACAAAACCACTCAACATTTATGAGTAAAGTTCCGTCATGGAGACCGCTAACATTTTTTATTATTCTATTTAATAAAATGCTATTTGGATATTCAAATATGAGTGTATATTCGGCACAGCCCTACACTTTTTATGATTTGATTTTGTTTGAAATTTCTATACATTGAAGCTGGGAATTCACCACAGACATTGGGTTTGGAACGACTGAAACTGAAGGATTATCAGAAAGAACCCGAAAGACGCACGCCAAGGAAGAATCTGCAGAGGCAGTTCTCTGAGGGTGAGCAGTTTACAACAGCATTTCATCCGGTGAGTCAAGAGTTGAATAAACTCTGTTAAATGTGATTTCATACTTCATAATATAAACCCTATTATTCAGTGTTCTCCAGAAAGGAAGCATTTAGCAGGATTGATTGTGGGTGCCAAAGGCGTAATATCACAGAGAATTAACTTGATGCTTTTCAAGACATCAAATGTGCATTCATGCCTTTGTGCTGAGTATACATGTGCAATTACAAGCTTGTACGTGTATGTACATGTAAGCTGCAAGAAGGGGTAACTGTGGCACTGATGAATTTTAACACTTATTTAAGAATGTAAACTAAAATATGAGGTGGATAATGTCAAAAAATGTATCAATGTGGTCTATTCTGCTAAAACCCCTTTTGGAGAATGCTGTATTTAACATCTGCCTCAACATGAGTTATAATCTGAGTGATAATAACATTGAAATATGGGCCATGTACATGTAATGCATTTTACACACAAGCATTTTTGGAGCAAATATCTATTCCTCAATTGTGTAACAATAATTAGCGGTGTGTATTTACGTGTAATATTTACGGGAACTGGGTACCCTATTGAAGTTAAACATGGGTACCCTGGTGCCGCTAAATCAAACCCAACCCCAAAATTCAAATCCTGCAAGTTGTCTAAAGGGCTTTATAGATTTACATTGTACATAGGTATACTTTCGCCAGTGTCATCTGTCACGCGTTAACTCACTCAGCAGTGAGTTATCGTGCAGTGCGAGTATACAACGAATTGGACTGCATTCGAGGGTTGGACGGTATTGGATTAAAAGACATAACCGGTATATGGTATACCGTGAAAAGAAATATTATGGTATCCGGTATAATCGGATACTTTTATGTCATTAAAATAATAAATTAATGTTAATAAGTCCCTGTGGCCTAAGCCTGTGCATGTAGAGAATGTGTCATTTGGTATTGGTACCCACAGTGTGATAGTGTAGTACATGCCAATGGTTGCCGGCAACCAGGGATGCCACGTGCGGCAGTCACAACCAAAAGATTTGATTGACAGGACTATGGCACACAAGTTTGCATATTATTTTGTTACTTCAAATAAACACCCAGACCCGATCACACCAGACAAAAATCAATTGATAGCTTAAATTACGGATGTCCTCATGAATTTTCCAAAAGACTTCAGAGGTAAATTTAATACAGGTATGTTCAACTTAACTGCCTTTGTACAGATTTTTTTAGTTCTCTCAACTGATCAGAGCATGTGTTTAACAAGCACATGTTTACCATCCGTCCAATGGCTGAGTCTGCATCTGCACCCATGATTTGCATAAATTGAAATTTGACGGATTATACATTAAATTTCCCAGAAATTGTTTCCCGGAGTTTGTGGTCGTTTTTTTTTTTTAATATATCGTGACTATCTGGTAATACTGAAGTGCCGTCCCAGCCTACTGCATTTGTTTTTTTGTGAATTTCCTTGAGTTTCAATAGAAGTATAAACAAATATTTGGAAGTGCACTTACATGTACAGAGTAAAATGAAACACTTTACTATACCTCATACATATTCATGATCGAGTGCCGAACTCTCACTGGTCAATTCACCATCACGTGCCAGATGTTATTCTTGCTGTTTACCAAACGCGCGCGCGAGGATTCACGCACAGGTTAAATATGCATGCGTAGTAGACTGTCGCACGGGTTGCTCGTGGGACAGTCTACTACCAGAGGTGGCAGCAAGTCATTTTTTGCAAGTCCAAGTCAAGTCACAAGTCATTAGGTCCAGTCACAAGTCAAGTCACAAGTCATTTGGTCTAAACACAAGTCAAGTCACAAGTATCTTTGTCCAAGAACACGTCAAGTTGCACATTATTTTGTACAGCTGTAATAAGCTAAAAGAATTAACCTGGCGTCAACTTACAAGTTATTTTGAACATGCCTCCTTAATTCCCCTTTTTCAATGTGTTGCAATTACTATTCTTGTAGTTTATCACATATCTGTCGGATATTAGCCCTTTGTATACTTTAATAAATTTACTTTACATTGTAGAAATAAATGTTGAGATGACCGTGAAAAAAAGACTTCACTCACTCGATTACATGTATTATTCTAACACTTTATTGTTCAATTTTCATGTATACTAAACGCCTACCAATGGGTTAGGCTATCCGGTATTTTACATGCAATTGACAAAGGCCTACTTTCTTTTCATGAAAGGTTCCTTTCAAAGTTTGTTCAACCAATACATTAAGCAAGAGACAATTGGTCATTGAAAACTGTAGTTTGTTGAGACAGTCTTATTGAAAACTTTTGAAACTAGTGGGAACTATTCATTTTTACTGGATTCAGTCACTGAGGTCTATTTTCTGGAATGAAAAAGCTAATTAAAAGTATAATAGCTTAATTAAAGTGTATTGGGTCGCTCGAGTAGCGTCTGACTTGGGTTGGTAACAAGTCATTTTTTGCAATCCCAAGTCAAGTCACAAGTCATTGTTTGCAAGTCCAAGTCAAGTCACAAGTCAAAGCTTGTATTTACAAGTCAAGTCACAAGTCACAAAAATAGCGACTCGAGTCCGACTCGAGTCCAAGTCACATGACTCGAGTCAGCAATTCTGTCTACTACGCATGCGCTTTACAAAGCAATCGAGGAACTGTCGCACGGGTGTAGTACGCACGCGCGAACATCGGCTCAATGATGCCGTACTCAGTGGAGAAAATTTATGGACAATAAATATGCCTCCTGTTCAAAAGAAAGTTGTATACAAGCAATTACTGTATTTACAACTGTATTGCAAACTACCGAACTAGTGAAAATGAGCAACAATGTTCTTTTTGTGAGCTGTACAAGTTTCTCCGAAAGTGTTGTTTTAGGTGCATATATATATGAAAAAATCGGCAACTGAATATGTATGAGGTATAGTAAAACAAATATAACATGGTTTATTTCGGGTGGACAGTCGATATTAGCTCCCCTCGGTATTGGAAGTTGACAAACTAGTTCCAATACCTCGGGGAGCGAATATCGACTGTCCACCCTCAAACCATGTTATATTTGTATAATAATGACTGTGTATTAGCTTTTGGCATAGGCTTCATATTGAAGCGCCTGTTTGAATGCAAGTGAAGATACATGTATGCAAGTAGTGGTATAAAAGCCAACAAAAAGTCTGAGCTATCCCTAGATTTGCACACAACCATGGATGTACCCAGCACCTTGCTATTTCCTAATAAAAAGTCATTTTTGTACCTTTGTGTTACTTTTGTCTTTACTGTCGAGTTAAATTATTACGCGTACTGGAATTTGTATCGTTGTGGAGACGTTCCTTTGTTCTCGTGTAGTAAAGTTTGAAAGTGTAGTTTTTAAAATGCTCTTATTTTAACCAGAATTAATTTCCTTGGCTGAAATTCGGACTTAATATTTCCTTTTCTAAAACTCTTCCATTTGCGGCAGATCAACATAGCTTGGAAATTTCTAGTTTTTGAGTAAAATCCATATGTCTATTTCGTGAAAACCTTGTGGAGACGTGTTCATCTATAGAAATTGCCCTGTGCAGACGTATACAATCTTTTGTTCCCTATTGTACACACGTCTCCAGAGGATACAGTTTATCAGATCAGCATAAACATGTACACGTAGGACACAAACAAACAAATGCAAAACAAAGAAACTAGGATTCTCAGATTGCAACTTCTCCTACAGTTTGGTTTAATTATTACAAGGAATGCATTTTAATAAACAGTCAGAAGACAGTGATGTATCTTCACATTTTGGCTTAAAATGGTACCCTGGCGCTGGAGACAGCCAGCCATTATATTGTATCAGCCTTCTGACATACATGTAAGGCAGCATTTTAATCCCATCTTATAAAGCAATCCATTGTGAAGCATTTTTTATAACTGTTAAATCTGAACGTACATGTAATTATTAGAAATGTTCTTACATCATTTTAACAATGCACTGTTTAAAACATTCCCGTTTTTCAACCAGTATTGTAGTTCATCAAAAGTATACAAACTAGTGGAAATATTAATAATGTAACAAACTTAGAATTTGTATTAATTAAAAGAAATTTTGTCATTATGACCGAGAACACGTACAACCGAGAACACGTTTGGACTCTTCAAGTCCAAACAAAACAATTGCCAAAGGAGGATGCGGTATGTTTGGCATGAATGGTATGTGTGCTGCCCTCTGCTGATATAAATAGCCTTCATACATGTAACTCTGTGTATACATTGTAGTTGAGCATGACATAGATTGGCAGGGTTCTTGGTAGTGATCTGCTGCTGAATGGGTAGGTAATGTTGAAGACATCAATCATGCTGAATGAGCAAAGCTTATACGTCACTCCTTAAACCTTTTTTTGTTATTAACAGTTTTGTTGAGCGCAGGTACATGTTTACTGTTTAATCCAAGTTGTTAAAAATTAGTGTGAACGGTGTTAAACGTTGTTAGCCACATTGACTGACCCAGTTAGTCTCATGTATCATTTCATAAATAGACTAGAGACCAGTCAAAGTCAGTTTACTTCTGTTTTACTAACACAAATGTGCCGGACCAGTTGTCATAACACGTACTTTTTCAAATCACTTCTGTTATGACATGAGTAATATAAAATAAATTTATGAAATGAGTAGTTGGCAGAATTTTCATGTTCAAATTTGCCAATTGCATGTCACACACCTGAAGTTACATGTATAGTGCAATACCTGTTTTTATGTTGTCTCTACAGGTGATGTCTACAGGCGATGTCTTCAATGTTGAAGTGGGTCATGCAACATTGTACTTACATTTTCATTGTTTATAACATTCTTCTTTTTTTCAGAGATGTTATTCAGAATCTTATGTGAAAATCAAAGGTCAGTTATTTGGTTTCTTATCTGTTTCCGGAATGGCTAGCCTCTCAATAGACACTTGACCTCTGTCATTGTCACTGCGCTTTAGCTCCATCTTCCCTTCATTCCACCACCTCCATGCTGACCAAAGAAATCTTTCATTTTCTTGAGCAATGTTGTTTTTATTTATCTCAATCACCTTGTGACCTCGCCACCTTTTTTTGTTTGTTTGTTTATTTGTTTGTTGTTGCAGTTACAAGCCATTGCTGATAATGATTTAGGCAGTATGGAGGTTGATTCAGCAGGTAATAACCATACTACCCCATCAACATGCCCACCTACATGTACATGTAACACACTTTGCTAGCATTTTAAACCATCTAACTATTTAACCACATTGATTTCAAGTCATGTTTAAATCAGCCATATTTTCAAATTGTCATCAGCATACTCTAGCACAGTTAATGACAAAAATAGCATGAAAAATATCAACTTGTAATGCCCAACTCAGACAGAGCAGCAGTCACAAATGTATTTGAGCACTTCTGAAGTAATGGCCTCCTAATACCAAAAGTATGTGTGTGATCTCTCATTTTGACCTGTTACTATGCATATCTTATTCTTCATTATAAAAAAAGGAAAGGAAAAATATAATAAAATAAATATCAACAAGTATAGGAATCATATTCCTTAAGATATCATAATGACATTGTGATTTTTGAAACTAACCTTTAAAAATCTACAAATCTGGTCAGAATTAAATTTCATCACTAACTGAATGGGTGCAGCAGTAATTGAAGGGACACAACATTCTAATGTTGTGAAAGTCTGCTAGTCTGCTTATATTGAGAATGACTTAAATCAGGTGGGGGAGAAAACACCATATTACCCCCGGTGATCTGTTGTCTATAAAAGTCTAATAAAGAAAGTGTTAATATAATGTTTGGGTCTCGCATGTATATGTGCAACATGTCCTAAAATGCTGTCAAAATGCAACTTCAAATCTCTCTTGGGACTTTTTGTTATAAAGCTGATTAGTGTGCAAAAACATGGCCAAAGTCATAGAAACCCTCAATGGCATAATCCAAATCAACAATCTGACCAGATTTGCAGGTCTTAGAAGTGATCAATATGGACAAAGATTATAGTTTTATATATTACTTTACCGACTAACTAAACTAAAGGGCTTTCACTTGGAATTTGGCCATGCAGTTGACTACTACTTTGTATGAAATCTAAACATTAAAGTACTTTTGTGAATTTTTCAATTCAATCTGAGAGGGTTTCTTTTGAATCGTCCAGTGAGTGGACACTAAAAGACCCGTTTTGTATTTTTTGTGTAAAATGCTTGGGGTGATTTTCTGGCATTTAATAGACTGCTGACTTCAGTATGTTTGGTATGTTAAATATGGTAATTTCATGTTTTCGTATGATTCTAAGTCAAATATTGATTGAAGTCTGGAAATAAAAAGTGAATAAAAGTACAGTAATACCATTTTTATTTACCACCACAACCAAATTAGTCTAACCATTTTTTTTTTAGTTCTACAAGTTCTAAACTGTTGGAGTTGTGTTCCCAATCTTCTTTTTACATGTACATGAAGTTATTCCGAGAGTGGATTTCTTAATCTAACCTCCCAATCTCTTAAATTTAAATTCAGAGAATGAAAGTAGTTGTGAGTAAAAATTATAGTGTTATTGTTGGCTTGGAATTCCCTTGCTTAATTAACCATCTATGTTGTGGATTTACATGTGATCCAGTAGTAAATGTAAGTCACTAACATGATCTTACCTGTAGTTATTAACATGGTATGTTATTTTAAAAGGCCCATGTCATGAATTTTACTTGGACTCATATTTTGTGCAACTTTCTACTCTTAAATGTAGGAAAATTATTTGACATCCCTTTTTTGTTAATTTTATTAAAAATCGCAGTTTTAAAACTTTCAAATGTTCCATGCTTTTCTTGAAAAATGAGGACGGTGTTGCTGTGATGTCATTTCGGGAAGACACTGTTCAGTTTAGGGGTTTTCTATTAAAATTGTGAACCCAAAAGTTGCTCATTGAAAACATTTGTGGGAAAACTTTGCTCATTGGCCTAATGTCATGTACTGAAACAACAACGAAACACCAAAGAGAAGAACATTTACACCAGCAAAATATCAAAAATTGTGGCAAATTATGATGCTGAAATCGCTGTAAAGCCCGATTTACACTTCACACGAAAGCAAGTGCGAAGCGAAATTCACGTCATCAACAATGGTGGACCACTTCGAACATATTGTTGACGTCACAAATTTCGCTTCACTTTCGCGTAGAGTATGAATCCAGCTTAACATTGAGGTTTCAGTCTGAAATGACATCACACTTTTACTCATGAATATGAAAATTCGCATTAGCTTAAAAACCAAAAAGATACCAAAATGCCCTTGAAAATGGCAAAATGAAAATTGAAAGTAAGGTTAAATGGGATACAAAGTGCCTCTCCATGGATTGCATTAAAAAAATAATTACATTACATTGGCCCTTTAACTTGTATTGTTTAAAGCAATTCCTCTCGTTGTTGGTTTCTGATTCACGCTTACCTTTGAAATCTGGTCCCTTTCATTTATAAGTGGCACATTTTGGCTAGACTCCACAGAGGGTTATCGAGTTATTTGGAATCGTAACACAACATAATCCAGCAATGGTAGTGTCACTGAAAATGTTTAATGTAATAATTCAAAAGAAACACTTCATTAGGAACATAAATTTAAAACAGATCTGAGACAAGAACGTTTGCCATAAAAATTTGGTATAATGAACAGATCACATTTGATATCAACAAACCGTTCTTTTATTTTAAACATTTGATGTGCTCTGCAGTTGTATCATGGCTAATAAAGAAATCTCAGAAAGTAATATTAGAAATCATAGAAAGTAATAAGGAGCAATATTTATTACAACCTGACCATACTTGGTCTCAATCAAAACAATGTTTATACAAAATCAATTTATCCTTTTTTGTGGTCCTGCAATTCGTTATTAAATTTAAATAATTAATTTTCGTCCTAAAAGTGGGAATTCCTATTAAAATGTGGTGAATAATGGTCAGTAAAACATACGACATGGAGCTATAAAATAGAGTTGAACTTGAAGGATTTTAACCAATAAAATTACACTGTCTCAGATATGGTTCATAAAATGTAAATGCTTTGCTAATATTGCACAAATGACTAGAGTTAGTAGCACTCTATCCTTGTTTTTTCTTAGTGCATGATCTCAGTTCAAGTTTCCTCTTTAATTGTTTTCAGATCTTTCAAAAATTGGCAACTCTAGTCCATAACTAAATATCTGTGTTTGCTTCAAGTAGCATGGCAATGCTTAAATTAAATAAAAGAGACTTGATGAAAACAAAAGTCTTTTAAGCAATTATGCTGGTTGTAAATAATGGCATCATCAATAAGGCATTTTATTGAAAAATAGTAGAATAGTTGTATGACAGGAGGAAATGTTTTTTGTTTTTATAAAGGGGGAATTTAATGGCTCTGTGTCTAATATTACCTTCAGCAGTGAAATGCCAAATGTTTGTAGTACAATAAACCACTATAGATAAACCACTCAGGGAGATGATACACCATGACATCAAAATGCCGTCTAACTTCTTGATCTCTCTAAACATGTACATGTACACATTATGTAGTCTTGATAAACAGCTATTTTCATGCCCAAGTTCATTAGCTGAGAAGTTACATTTTTTGAATACATGTATCATGTCTTTGGTAATTACGTCTTGTCATAAAGGTGCACAAAGTACACATATCTTTGTGTCCAAGAAAGGCTATTACGGAAACATTTAAAGTAATATAAAGTTTCATTTAAATGTAAATTTCATGTAAATTTCTGGTGCAAAATTTCAAAGTTTCAACCCAGTCAGACTTTAAGATCTCTAGAAAATAAGACCTAAAAATGGAACATTAAATGTAAAATACAACATTTGCTTTGGATGTAATTTACAGAAATGGATGGATTTGGGAATGAGTATTTTATAGAAAATATTGATACACTGACCTGTTAAAAGTTTTGTTTTCATAGATGCTGGAAAAACCAGTTCTTGTAGTCTGGTTCCCTGACCCTACTTCAGAGGAAACAGAGCATTTTATAGATGTTCGGGAATTGTCAGGTCAGACCAGACTAGCTAACTTGCATCTGTTGACGGATATTTGTAATCACTTGCAAACAAAATGTGGACTAATAAAAATAAAAAGGGTAAGAAATGTACGTTTTTTTCCAGCGTGGATACAAAATTGATAAAAAAATTATACTTTTTGTTTAAATGACAGCGCACAAGGTGCCATGATTTTACAGGATGCTTGAGACTATTATTCACTTACAGTCCAGTAAGGTATTTCATAATAATTTGGAAGTTTTGTTTTTTGATGTTTGCAAATGTTGTATATTCCCTTTAAGTTGATATCACACGTGAGGAGCTTATCATGGCGTCATTATGTTCATGTACACTTTTAGCACATTGTCTGAGTGCCAAGTTTGAATAGAATAAGATAGAGCCTACTGAATGTTCAAGTGCCGACCAAATGTACACAATCAATGGAATTTAAGGGAAGGAAAATAAGATAAACACACACACACAAAATACGTTTTTGCATACCATAACTATGCAGAAAAGCCGACGCCTTGGGCATTGAAGCTGTATGCTATATTGTGGCTGACTATTATAGGAGTCACTGCTTGGGTGCTGCAGTGCACATGTACATGTATGTTGCATGGAAGTGCAGTGGTTCAGATGACTGTTTGCTGTTTTTCAGATTTCCTGTATGCCAAAGTACCTGTACATATTTGATACGGCTTAAAGACAAGAGAAACACATTTTGCAACTACTGTAACCTCATCAACTTGAACTAGTGCTTCAAACTGAAAGTTGTTGATGGGCGTCGTGAAATGTCAACAAAAGTCTGATATTGCCTTTTCACAGAAAATGAGAATCATTTGTTGTGTAGCATAAAGTACAAAGGGCTAGCAGTTAATCATCTAACAAGCTTTTAAAGTATTAAAATTCCATCGTATCAATACTTATAAAGTATGTGTGAAACCAAACAAGAATTTTTTTAAAAATTAATCAGATCCTATCAGATGTTTAAATTTGAGTGCATTATGCTTGCTTTAAATGGGTGCATACCTATGTTCCCCAATACCTATGTTCCCCAAGATCCTTACCCTACAACCCTAACCCTAACCCTAACCCTAAGGATTTCGGGGAACATCGGTATAGGGGAACATAGGTATTGGGGAACATCGGGTAGACCCTCTTTAAATACAACCAAATGTAGTTTATTGTCATAGATTGATTACAGTGTGTATGGGAAAATAATAGGTAATTCAAAAATAATGTGTTAATATGTACAAGTTTTTAACTTAAACATGTCAAAGTGGCCCCATCATAAAGGGTACTGTAGTTCATTAGCTTTTCATTGTATCTTATTTGCATTTCTTCAGTTACGGATGAACGAGCACCACTGATTTATAAACAAATCCAATAAACCTCTGTTTCCAAGTTGGTTGAATCAGTGCTGAGTTAAGCTGTTGGAAGAATGCGCTGTCGCTGTGGACAGTTCACTGAAAGAGATATCAAGTTAGAGATGCTGGAACATAAAACGATACATCATAATGTTGTCAATGAATGTGTGATTGATCATCATCATCACAAGGTCAACACCTACTGTCTCCAAGTTGGCCTGATTTCAGTAGTGAATTGAGCTGTCAAAAAAGTGTGATGTGAGGCAGACATGTTGAAAGTGTTTGGAAAAGAAATGCAATACATGTATTATGTTTCATGATTAAATCAATCTTTTCAAAACAATTTCTGTTTAGTCTTTTACCCTTACTCCCTAGGCAATTTTGAAAAACACAATCTTTGGAATGATAAATTATTTATGGATAACATGAATAACATCTCCAACATACCCCTTTAACACACTGTTCACAGAGACAGCACATTCATCTGAGAGCTTAACTCGCCACTTATTCAACAAACTTGGAAAAAGAGGTTTTTGCCTTTATATTGCAATCAAATGTGCTCTGTCATCTGTGACTGAAAATATGCAAATGAGGTATCAATTGAAAGCTAATGACCTACCCTTTAAGATGGAGCCACTTTGACATTGTACAATTTCTAACTTACATACATTAACCCAATGTTTTTGGATTACCTTTCTTTGATACACCCTGTACAAAATCGATACTCCAATAAATTCACTGAACAGGAAAAGGGTTGACTTTAAGAAGTTTAATCAAATGGTAAAATAAGCTTTTCTCTTTTAGTAATTTTGTTTTTATTAGGAAGCTCAAACTGAAGTTTGTTTGTATTATCGTTTGTCCCTTTACTTTTTATTATAAATGGAACATTCTGGATTATATGTAATTTCCAGTGTACCACAATGTTGCTGTTCTCTGTTTTCTACAGAAGCTGAGGAGATGACATTTGTGCGCTTCATGAAGAGTCATAAATGTTATGAGATCATTCCAACAAGTGCCAAGCTGGTGGTATTTGATGTTCAGTTGTTGGTGAGTTGTAGGACCTTCCTTACACTCATCAGCATTCCAAAATCCATATTGCAAATATACAATTGGAGAATTATACAATTGTTGCCTGTTGTGATGGGGTCCATGGTGTTTTGTGCACCCGAGGGTGCAAATGGCCCCCGAGGCGAAGCTGAGGGTGCCACTTGTGCCAGAGGGTGTACAAAACCCATGGACCCCAATCACGGCAGGCAACAATTGTTTTGTTGTACCATGGTAATAGATTCAAAGCGTCTGAAATTGTGGATTTCCTCCAGTTGCTGTGCAGTAATAGCAGAAGTATATATTATTTTGAAAAGATCCGCGATTACTGCACCGTGAACATTTGCACAATTTTTTTTCACTTTACAGGAACAGAAATTAATTTAGCTTTTCACTGAATACACCAATCCATTAATCCCTGCCCCATTACGAGCCAATCACAGCTGCGACCATGTTCTATGCGCACGCGTTCATCCGACATGTGTATGCACGTGTGTGCGCGCCCTCTGAAGCCTCTTACCCGGGCTATTTCTATTATACAAGGCAATAGAAACAACACTTTCAGCAGTGGGGACGATCAAGGTAATGTACCCCGTGGGGAACATCACTCATGTACCATGGGGTGTACCCTGACACCATACATGCGTGTTTGTGGCACATCACGTGCTTGGTTCTCGACCAATAAAACATCACGATCTATTACCAAGGTATAAGAATGATGCTTGTTGCATGCATTATAAAGATGACACCCTAATTTGTTAATCTCATAGGATGAAAGCTAAATGAAATTGAGTTATCGGGCAAAGTAATAATATTAATACAGCATAAGGAATCTGAACATTTGGACTATAAAGCGCATGCTGAAAATGTTCAAGAAAGTACAAAAGGACTGGGACCCAGACTTGAGTTGAGTCTCTGTGAAGAATTGTATATTTCTAACATATCTGTGTCAGTTGTGTGTGCAGACACTCATATGCCTGCTCATTTGACGTACCCAGTCAGCGCAGCCTTGGTGCTTAGGCTAGATTCCTGCTATACATCCTTATATGGCAGTAGATTTGAGGACTTGGAAAAGGATGCCAATAATACACGGGCAATTTCAAGGCAAAGTTGAAGCATGTTACTTACCCCTCTAATTTGCATCGCCTTTGTGATGTTGTTCCTTTTGATAGGTTAAGAAGGCATTCTTTGCTTTGGTGTACAATGGAGTCCGAGCAGCTCCCTTGTGGGACAGCGAAAAACAAGACTTTGTTGGTGAGTTATTTTGTAATATACATTATTGATATACTTAGGAAATTAAAAGTCTAATCAAAAGAATTGGTCATGTTGATATAATATCTAGATATTGGGATATTGAGTGTGAACGATTTCAATACAGTCGACTCCTGTTTATTATATCATTTCACAGGTATGCTAACAATAACTGACTTTATCTGCATTCTGGAGAACTACTATAAGTCCCCATTGGTAAGAATATTCATTTTTATTGAAATGTCAAGGCAAAGAAAAGAAACCATTTGTCAATCCAAGGTAAACTTTTGATCAGGGGCCAGAAAGTGCCGCTGCATTATGAAGATATTTAACAAACAAACAAACAACTGAAAGAAAAATGTTAATTTGATGAATTAACAACCAATAGAATAAAAACAAATTACCTTCAGTAGCCTGACTGCACTGTTTGATATTTGAAGACAAGCATTTCTGGAACTTTCTTTGCCAAACACACTTACAGTCCCCCAGGTTGTGTGGTGAATATTCAAATTTTGTTTAAACTTCAAAAACTTTGTTTATGGATCTAATGAACACACCAAACTTTAAGCTCCCAATTCCTAATTTTTTGTTAGGTATGGCCCTTTTCAAGGTCTGTCTTGCTTTCTTTCATTTCCCGTTTGTAGTTGCATTGGTTGTGTGCTCATAGCTTCCACTGGGGATTGTGTTTAAAGTTATATTGAAATCTAAGTCATATTATAAAAGTAATATTTAGGCATTATATTGACGTTTAATATTTCATACTTTCAACTCTCAATATGAAGGTGAAAATGGATGAACTGGAAGAGCACAAAATAGCAACCTGGAGAGGTAAGACAACCCATCTTTGGAATGTTTACAATGTGTGACATTGACATCAGACACGTACAACATTTGACAGTAACATAAGTAAATAGAATGGTCATATGACTTGTCTTACTTTTTCCTTGTTGTAGATGTATTGAGTAAGAAGGCAAGACCTCTTGTTTGGATTGATCCAGATGCCAGGTATATATGTTCAATGAATCCATGTCTTGTTACTGTGGTTGTAATCAGTGACATCGACTTGTCACACTCATACTGCACATCATTTTGAATCCCAAATAATGAAAGGTTTGCGGAAACACCATGTGCGAATAATTTCTCAACTAAAAAATGGTTCTGAAAAGAACCAGAGGTATAAACTCGACGTTCCGGTCAGTATGCTCTGACCGTCTTCAGGAGAGTGCCTAAACTCTAAGAAAGTGAACACTTAAGTAGCAAAAGGCGAAATCAATGAAGTGTGAAGTTGCATCCTGTGAGGATGCCAAGTAGACGGGATCCTAGAACAAACATGGTGTTTCCGCAAACCTTTCATTATTTAGTATCTCCACCATGCAAAACCTCAAATCTTACTTATTTTGAATCCCCTTTGATGTCAGTCACAGAATCATTAATACATGGTCTGCCTCACTGCAGACCCTAGGTATAGGAGGTTTTTGTTTCTTTTCTTTTTTTCTGATTGAATAAGGTCAACTAGAGAGTCAATTCTGGAATCAGAATCTAAAGTCCACTCATTTATTAGGACTGCATGTCCTTGGTGATTACTCTCGGACACAATGCTAGGCAGTGCCCGATGGTGCTGAAGACCCATTGACCCACTAAAAATGAGTTGTCAAGAAAGTTCAGTTCTCTTAAGAAAGCTGGTTCTGCATAGCAGTGTTGTAGTCCGGTCCATCACAAGTCCCCACAAGTCGTCTAGTCTCAATTCAAGGCATCAGCTATTAAATAAATTGTAACAAAGGGATTCCTTTGCTATTGTGCACCCCCTGTTACTTGTGACTGAACTTGTGAAAGGACTTGTGATTTACTTATGAAAGGACTTGTGATTTACTAATGAAAGGACTTGTGATTTACTAATGAAAGGACTTGTGATTTACTAATGAAAGGACTTGTGATTTACTAATGAAAGGACTTGTGATTTACTAATGAAAGGACTTGTGATTTTCTAATGAAAGGACTTGTGATTTACTAATGAAATGACTTGTGACTTACTAATGAAAGGACTTGTGATTTACTAATGAAAGGACTTGTGATTTACTAATGAAAGGACTTGTGATTTACTAATGAAAGGACTTGTGATTTACTAATGAAAGGACTTGTGATTTACTAATGAAAGGACTTTGTGATGAATTTGACTACAACACTGCTAGGGCGAGCTCAGCTGTTTTGTTTTTGTTTAATGCAAGTAATGGTGCTGTGTGTGGTATTGCTTTCATGTATGTTGCAGGCTTGTTAATAGTCGAATCCAATACACTGCCCATATTTGATTGAGATCAGTTTCCTAATGGAATTATGATTCCTGACCAGTTTCCTATAGTTATTGGTTGTCAAGGCCTATAAAGGGAATGGAATGAATGACAGCGTTGGCAACCCATTGTAATAATGTCTTACCTGTGATTGTAAAGCACACACATTTCTTTTCCCAGTTTGTTTGAAGCCGTTAGGATGCTGATTCAATCTAAGATTCATCGGCTACCAGCTCTGGATCCAGTGACTGGTAATGTCATCTACATTCTCACTCACAAGAGGATCCTCAAATTTCTTGGATTGCTGGTAAGGAGAGCTGTTTGCGTTGAATCAATCTAAATATGTCCCTCAAGAATACATAGAGTTATCCGCAATACAGATAACCTGCTATTGGAAATACAGATCCTGCTTTCCAAGCAGTATATTATGGGTTTTGCAGTGTATTAATTGAGGTTTTCAGACTTTGCCAACCAGTGTGTCAATGTAGACGATACAGCAGGGATGACACAGTGTCGTCATACATGATTAACCCTTTCGATACCACATTGTTTTACTTGACTCTACCCTTTACCTCATCTGTTGTTCAGTCCTTCAGAAATCATTAGAGTGAGAAAATGGAACCCAAGTTGAAAACCCACATTTTTAGCCAAGATTTCCACCGTTAAAGACTGATCATGATTAAAAGTGTGTATACATTTTTTAAAACACATTTTTTACTGAAAGAGACTCTTTCATGTCCTGAAATAACCATGTCATGTGAGCAGAAAGAAAAAATGATGGCCTTTTGTGGTCCCAAACTGCAGGCCATTACATCAAACTTTAACCTGATATTGTTTTGATAAGACTTCATATAACCCTTGTAAAGCCAATTGATGTACTTAAAATCCTTTTTATGAGCAGTGATTTTTTTCCCCACACGGTAATTTTTTATCTGTTTTTTTTTTGTTCCAGAAAAATGAAATCAGGAGTCCAGCGTTCTTGAAGAAGAGCCTGCAGGAACTTGGTATTGGTACATATACTAACATTGCAACTGTAAGTGTCATTCTGTGGCAAAACAGAGCCAAACAAAACATGTTATACTTTGATCTATGCACTGGCCAAGTAGGACAAGACTAGGCAAATCTAGCAAAGCTGGTCCATGATCCAACATGTTGTCTATTAAGGGTTGTAGTCATCTCAGACTAATATTTGGGCCACAGTGAGGCTTAAACAAGTCTAATTCACAATTGACAATCAGTCAGCTACAGAGCGTACTGTAGGCTGGCCCTACAGAACCAGAAAAACCTCACCAGAATATAGTGCTGTATACATCAACAATCAATCAGTCCATTTTTGGTCACAGTTTGATTAATAAAACGGCATAAAAATGGCCAACTGATTTTTGCATCAAACAGTGGTTTGGTTTGGGTTCAACACCAGTCAGTTGTTGGGACCGTCAAGTGTCTGATGCAGCCAGGCCCACACAGGGGCAGCGGAACACTTTTTAAACTGGGGGGCAATACCAAGAAGTGGCACTTCCTCAGAAAAAGGGGCACCTTCCGATGGTGTGAAAGTGGAGGAAAAGAATATGTTCCCATTTCGTTATAAACGTATTTGACGAGGAACAAAATGGTCTCTCTACATAACTAGGTAAAAAAAACCCACAAAGAACAAGATGGACAACGTATTCATAATTTACTTTTCACTCCCTACCTCAGAGTATAGTTTATTAAAAGACACACACACATACGTTTTTTGGAGTATAAAGACTAGTCTATTGTGATTTACAGAATGCATAAACAATGTTCACCCTCTACTTTAGTTTTACTAAATAGGAATTGTTACGTGTGTGACATTGATCGGTCACGTGTGTGACATTTTGTAATATAAATTATGCTAATTTATGCACGGAAAGACAAACTTATGAAACATCTTAAGAAATGTGCATCTTTACTTACTAAAAACACTTTAGTGAACAATAATCATATGTATTGCATCACATAAATTTTTTTTCCCCAAATTAAGTTAGTTTCAATATCTGAAGAATTGCCTTTCTACATAGCTGCAATTTTGTAGGAAACAAATAAAAAGACAATAGGTTGGCAGCATATGTGTAGAATATATTGCAAGTGTATGAATTAAAAAGAAAAAGAAGGGAAAAAAAAAAGAAGTGGCTGGCAGGTGTCCAAAATGCCCGTATTATTATAATAATAGCATCATCCAATGGGAATCATGATGAACGGTATTTGCAGTAAGCATTCACATTGCTCACATTATTTTGCTGAACATGCCATATACTATTGAGTTCGGTTTGGTTCAGTACACAAGCCATATTTAGCAAATTTTAGTTCAGTTCGGTAGTTTGGCTGTACCACTGAAACAAAGATTCCCTATTGACATCCTGCAGCTCTGTCCCTTAAACTTGTTTGGTTAGACAGGGTGATTTTTACTGTACTCATTTTGTGTAGGCTTACCTTATTGAGCTGGACCTGCAAGTTTCAGTTTAGGACATTATTTATACATGTACTCGGTGACTCGGTCACGTAGTCAGTCAGTCAGTCCGAGGACAGTATGCTGGCCCTTTGTGTCAAGCAAAAGTACTCCAGATCCTGAGTCCCATTCCATAGTTGTTTTCCATCTGAAATTCATGTTAACCCTGTATGTACACACTGCTGAGAGTAAATCTCTGAAAAAATGTATGTCTGCTGTTTTGCATTGACAGGCCAGGCCCAACACTCCTTTGATCAAGGCTCTACAGATCTTTGTTGACCGTAGAGTATCAGCATTGCCAGTTGTGGACGACAACAACAAGATCATTGATATCTATGCCAAGTTTGATGTCATAGTAAGTATTGTGATGTGTGGAGGATCCTCATGTCATGCCCAACGTATGTTGATCAAATGGACTTCAGCTGAATAGAAACCAGATCTATTTTGATTTATATAACGGGCTAATATCAACCAATGGTGACGTAAGGAACATGGGACTCCTATGACAATAAGACTGCGTGTGTATGCCAGGTTGGCCATTTTATGCCCTTGTTAATTACGTGATGTGCTTCTCGTTTTTAGAATCTTGCCGCTGAGAAAACCTACAACAACTTGGACATCACAATTCAGCAAGCCCTGCAGTTTCGACAGACGTACTTTGAAGGCGTTCATACATGTCAAGCTTCTGAGAAGTTGGAAACTATCATGGAGAAAATCATTAGAGCAGAGGTAAGTTTGAAATTGAGTGGGTTTGTGTACTTATCGTGAAAATAGATTGTTCTGAAAGCATGAACTTGTAGCCTGTATCTTGACTTTCATTGTTAATGCTCATAGTTTCAATTTTTCCCATAATCTTCAAGATTTTTTCAAAGAAATTTTTTTGAGAAGGCCTCATTGGGATATACTAAAAAGTTGGTCGGTTTGATAGTTGTATTTTCATCTTCGAATTCACTGATTTTTCAAAGCTGTTGTATTTTCTATTCATCATGACTATACTGTAAAGTGCAAAAGGTGCATGCGTACTTACATATTTAATCATATGGAATAAATGGTAACAATGGGGACCAGTGCTGTAAGCATTGTCAATATATTGATATTACTCGATTATTCAGTATTATTTTCATATCGATATCGCCGATAGTAATTTTTAATCATATCGAAATATCAAAATGTTCGATATTGAGGAATGATATATCAAAAAGGTGTCAAATTATCGTCACAATAAATCTCCAGTTTGTGCTTTTACTTTGTGTTTAACGTTTGCTGTATGTTGAAAATGAAATAAAACTCAGCATCAGCTTGTGCTTGTGACTCAAAATAACACATCCCAAAATGCCAAGCAGCGGCGCTTTGTGCTCTGCGTTTGCTGGAATTTGCGGTCTCCCCCAGTGTAAAACCTCAAAAGAAACTGCCCATTCTAGACAATGGGGACTTAAGATTGGTTGTTTTGTTTGTTTTTTTAATCGAAGTGTCATCTTTATGATTTTTTACATGGAATAATCAATATATCGCATGTTCTCGATATCGGATTTCCAATAAATTGATTATTGAAAGTTCTGATATCGACAGTGCTTACAGTGTTGTAGTTGAGTACTTGTATCCGAGTACAAAGTGCTGTTGAGTACCAAGCTATCGAGTACAACTCACATCCGAGTACTTTGACCCTTGATTACATGTAGAACCCCACAGTACTTTACTTCTTGAGTCTGAGTACAGTGAATTCAGGTGATATTCGAGTACAAGTGCAATTACCAGTTTTCTCAATTAGTACTTTGAGTACAAGTACCAAGTACACTTATAGGGACCATGGGACCTCTATTAAAAGTTGGTCTTTAGAAATCTCAGTACCCCACATGTGTAACGCTATGTAGTTTGAGATTTCAATAGAAACAAAGGAGAACAACAGTAGGGAAGTAAAGGTGGACACTCGTGGTACCCCATGACTACCCATACATCCAGATGTGTGTGTGGGTGTGTGTTCACTCGTGGTACCCCATGACTACCCATACATCCAGATGGGTGTGTGGGTGTGTGTTCACTCGTGGTACCCCATGACTACCCATACATCCAGATGGGTGTGTGGGTGTGTGTTCACTCGTGGTACCCCATGACTACCCATACATCCAGATGGGTGTGTGGGTGTGTGTTCACTCGTGGTACCCCATGTATACCTGTACATCCAGATGGGTGTGTGGGTGTGTGTTCACTCGTGGTACCCCATGACTACCCATACATCCAGATGGGTGTGTGGGTGTGTGTTCACTCGTGGTACCCCATGACTACCCATACATCCAGATGGGTGTGTGGGTGTGTGTTCACTCGTGGTACCCCATGTATACCCGTACATCCAGATGGGTGTGTGGGTGTGTGTTCACTCGTGGTACCCCATGACTACCCATACATCCAGATGGGTGTGTGGGTGTGTTCCTGCATGGCATTACGCCTGAGGACAGACAACAAAAGGAGCACAAAGGGGCCATTGATCCTCGAAGGAAGGTGCCTATTGTCCTCGAACGCAGGTTTGTGTGCTTAGTCTATGGGAGAGTGTTATATTACAGGGACAAAGGAAAACACAAAGCCAATCCTCGGAAGCATAGCAAAAAACGACTGTGTGTGTTCACTCGTGGTACCCCATGACTACCCATACATCCAGATGGGTGTGTGGGTGTGTGTTCACTCGTGGTACCCCATGACTACCCATACATCCAGATGGGTGTGTGGGCGTGCGTTCACAAGTTGTTGACAAGTTGATCGTCTACAAAGTGGGCACCAGGCGACCAAGCCCAAAGCCTCATGTCTAGTGAACATAAAAAGTGTTTCAGGGTGCTATTCATTTCTTTTCACGGGCAGCATGGTGAGCCTCCTATCTCATAAAGGGAACACTCTTAGATGTAAACATGCATTGATTCAAGCCGGGAAATAATTGAGATTCAAGTTGTTTGTTCCTCTCAAAAAGTGTCTTTTCTTTGTCTTGATGAAGGTTCATCGTCTGGTAGTAGTTGATGGTGAGAACCATGTTGTAGGAGTTGTATCGCTGTCTGATTTGCTCAACTTTCTTGTGCTTCGGCCAGCAGGTCAGTACTAACATTACGACTTAAAACAAACAGGATTCTCAGTGGGTCAGTTTAATCCAACATCTTTATGTTATTGAATCTTTGCAAAAATAAGGGTATTGAAACTGGTCAAAATACGAGTCAGAAATGACTAGATATTCAGTTTTTGTGAGTTCCAACAATAGAAGTTCAAGCCTGGTTTTATTATTGTTTAAAGTTGAACCCGGTATTAATGATACTACTTTTGCAAATGTAGCCAAATGTTTAAATGTGGAAGTTGTTGATCATTTTGAAAATGTGTTATTTGTAGAATTTTGTTGTAATGTATAATTAATGTTGTACAAACGCTCTTTTTTATTCTGCAGGAATAACAAGCAGGAAATCAAGTGCTAATTCACCAGAAACTGACAAATGAATTGATGCGAGTGCAAGAACTTAAAGAGCACGACAGTGGCAAACACAGCCTGTCACATTGAACATATGGAATAATGTGTAGGAAAAAGGAAAGGGGTCTCTGTATGGCTTACTGCTTATGAAGTATACATGTAGTAATATCATGTATCATGTAGTTTTGGTTAAAAGTGAGGTGCTTTTATCATAAGCCATGCTACAGTTCTTCCAAATAATTGACACTTCTTGAGCATTTCAGATGTTGGTGGCAGTGTGAAGAGCTGAATTGCTTGCAGATTTCACATCCACATTGTTCCGGGGGACTTGTGTATTTTTTTTGCCTGGGTAATTTTGTGGGTCCCTTTTATATGGATTACATTATACAAATGAGATGTGTGGGAAATCTCCCTCTCAAGATTTGTGTTACAGATTACCTGGTATAAAGCTATATGAAGCCAGTATGAACGATAAACAGTTGCGGTGTGGGATTTACAAGTGATGTTGTAAGAAAAAATTTATATTATTATTACATATTTTAGGTAAATACATGTACCTTGTACAAATACCATAATAACATGTGACATATGACAAAAGCATTTGTGTGTGTAAATATAAAAAGGTTTTGGAAGCAAAGTACAGCAAATAGTGAAGATTCAGGATAGTTACTCCAGCTGCCTAACCAAGACAGACAACTCATGACAAGTATGTACATTTAGTCTCCCCTGCATGATATACATTTAGGTGGAATAAATCTTATATGGAACTCGATTCTTGTTGGTAAAATTAATGTTTAATTATTTAATAGTATTAATTGTAAAACAATTTATTTGAAAGTCATTGTGCAGGTTGGAAGAGTGTTATGATTGCATTTCAACTTGAGAAAAATCATGTTGTCAATCCATTGTTGGGGAGAAGAGCTCCAGGCTGTACCCTTGACACCACATGTAAAAAACTATTCAGTGCGGCCTTCTAATATCCAAGTATTTTGGATATGTCAAGGATCCAATAACCAGGCACCAGGAAAGAGAGCATCTAGTGGTAATATAATGCCCCGAGCCATGGGGACCAGATGAGGTCATTAATACATGGAGGTCATAGTGATGTACAGTAGCAGAGAATGTTTCATCAACAAAAGGACGGGAGGAACAATACCAATATATATGGTCTCATAAAGCAGTTCCAAAAAGTTAAAGAGTGGGGAGAACATTTCTGTAACAGCTGAAAAAAGTAACAATATGACTGACTTAAAAAAGTACTGTGAATAATGCATTGCAAGACAGCATGCAGGTTATGCGACATGATGGATACCGAGACAATCTGTCCCAATAACCACAATATGTTTTTTCTTCTGAATTTAATGGAAGTAAAGTAGACCAATTTTGGGCAGCGGCGGCAGAACGGTTTTCAAACTGGGGGCATCACCAAAAAGGGGCACTTGCTCAGTAAAAGGCATCTTCTGTCGTTGCAGCAGCCTATCAAGCATTTTTCTGTGTGGCACATCCGTGCTGAAATGTCACATTTTTTTTCACCGGAAAATCAAATGATTGGGGGGGGGGGGAGTATTTAAGTTTGTAAGCATGACACTGCTTATTTTCAGCATTTACTGTGTTCCAATGTGACACAATTTCTGTAAGTATTGGGTACATGCAAGTCTTCAAATTTCCATTCATAATTTTGCCTGTAGAGATTGCTGTTGATTGCAAAATAAAATGTCCAATAATTCCATTGTCTTTGCATCCAGTGTTGCTCTTTAAATTGTCCACTTTTTCCTTTCAAAGATTGTTAGAGAATTTTTTTTAAATATCCAATTTTTGAAAATGTTCATAATAGCTATCAACTGTTAATATAAAACTGTAATCCAATATGCTCTAGAACGAATAAGATACATATTTGTAGATAGCAAAGTCGGAACATTATTCAAAGTTATTAAAATTGTTACAATGTTGGAAAATAAATTGTGAGCATCAGTCACAAAGTACAAGTCTTTGATTAGACTCCTGTCTTTGTTCTGCCACATTCTAAAAGTTTCCCTGGCCTGCTTTTATAGCTCAGTGTCCCCTAACACCTATCTTGCAATTAAGCTGTGGTTCATCATAGTCCGGAGTTCCACATTGCATAAGTACAACTTGTAGGTCATTAGCTGTACCGGTATGTGTACTTGGGGGGAAAAAAATTAATTGGTTATTTCATTTTTATCATTTGGACACTTACAAAAGAAATTTAAAATATATATAATATTGCAGATTGGTCACATAACCTGCTACAATAAAGGATCTTATTTCTAAGCAACCTGTTAAATTAATTGATTCAACATCAGAGCTACATGTATGTAGCACGTGCACAGGACCACAGGTGCTTGCATACTGACAGGGCTTTTACAGCTCGGCTAATGTTACATTTTAAAACTGTTTTAGTGCTCAGTGGCTGTGAACAAATTTTAAATATGAAATGAAATGGCAAATAACAGACATCTAAAATTTGTTTGTATTTTATACAAGATTGTTTGTACAATATTTATTCCTTTATTACTGTATAACAATAGACAACATACATTGTTGTATAATGACATCATGGCATTTTGTGAAAAGGCAAAGAATGGAGAACTTGCCTGTCAACAAAATATATGAATTAAAACTAATCACGCTGTTCCTCTTAAAATAGTAGGGATTACAAAAATCAATTTCCCCACTATGCTAATATGTTGTCATTTCATGACTGAGATTATCAAAGGTAGAAAAAGGAACCAGAAACAGACGAGTCCCCTTCTCATTTCATAGTTCCTAATTAACCAAGATTTAATTTGCATCCCAATGACTATCTGGCTTTACTTGCTAATTTAATGATACGCCCCCACCCCCCAAAAAGCAATAATAATATAATCAAAATAGTCATAATAGAATAATAACAATAAATAAAATCACAATTTACCCTTCCTTCAACTAAAACGTGATGATTTCTGACATGTTCTTTAAAAAGATGAGGATACAAAGTAGATTTGGCTTTTATATGCTTCCAACCTCCAATCACAAAACAACAGATGAAAACAAAATCACACTATTAAGCTCAACGGTGTTCGGATCATGGATTAGTTTTACGTTTTTCCCCCCATTTTTTAAATTTTGGCTTATAATCCATGAGGAAAAATTTGAACAGTTATATTCTGATGATAAATCTTTGTAAAACAACTTATTTCCCCAAATGATATCTAAAATTAAAACCTGACACTGCAATGTCATTTCTTGGTATGTGCCATCACTGAAAACATATCTCTAGAGTCTTAAAGAGGTTGTGGAATGCTCGAAGACATTTCCGTCATTTTTTGGGTATACGTAGCCTTTTGAGAGCTGTTTTTCAAGTCCTGTCATGCCTGTTTTGACCCGAACGTGCAATTCGTGTAAAAGTCGTTGCGGGCAGCAAACAAAACACAGTGAATCGTGACGTAATAAACAGGACTCCCAATGCAGAGTAGCATAAACGAGTCCTGTTTATTACGTCACGATTTACTGTGTTTTGTTTGCTGCCCGCAACGTCGACTTTTACACAAATTGCACGTTCGGGTCGAAACAGGACCTGAAAAATAGCTCTCAAAAGTACCCTTTGTACTCATTTCATGACAGAAACAATAGTCGTTTTTATTTCATCACACCTTAGGCTAAATATACCCCAAAAATGATGGAAATGTCTTCGAGCATTCCACAACCTCTTTAAAGCAGATGATTGGGAATTTAAGAAAAGCTTGATGATAATTTGGACCCTAAACAACCCCCCACTCCAACAGTAAGTGTTTGAAACACAAACTTACACAGAAGCAGATAAAATAATTGACTATGATTTCCACCTTTGTGATGATTTACAAAATTAAGCAATAAATAACCTTTGTTTAGTATTTATGACAGCCAGCCAGCCAGGCTATTCCTATAGACCTTGTGCATTGCAGGTTCCTCACAGGGTGCTGATTGTTATTTTAATTTAGAAACAATGAATTTAAAATAGGTTATTCACACCTACATAGCGATACAAAACCACTGCCCTCTAATACCGCCTAAACGCATAAGGTCGATCGATTGAGATGCTATCACATGAGATCAACTTATTTCTCCTAAATATTGATGGGTTTTGAAATTCGAAATGAGGTTTTCACAATTGGTTTAGGACCTGTTTTTGCATGAATTTGTATACATGACTCATATTCAAGAACCTATCTTGACAGTGGATAAAATGTACCGAGCAAGAATGTCAGATATAACCTTCACATACATGTCAGAATAAGTTTTGAATTGTTTTAAGAAAAAAACTATAAAAGACCAGTATAACAGGATTTTGACCTGTTTGAGGCATCTGTAAAAATGGCCGTGTGGGTGCAATCTTGATCAATACCCACAGATTCACATGACCCAAAGATTTATCAATCATGCATATCCACCCCTACAAACCATAAGACAATACTTCCAGCATACAGGAACTATTCATGATCTTAAACTTATCTGCATTCATCTCAGCCAAATTGACATTTTGCTATTTATTATAACAAAAATTACCAAAAAATCAAAAACTACAAATAGGGTCACTTGTAAGAATAGTACATTTGCTTTCCAATGAGGCACTGCATGGACTCACCCAAATCACAGTATTAAAAGACTAAACATTGGACATCTTCCCCATTTTCCCACATGCGTTTTTAAACTGTTTGTTGATGGGAAGCTTGAAGGTGGTCATGTTTCAGAGGATACAACCTTTTGGCTCATACAGGTACCACATAGGCCCCGTATTGGTTTGGAATGCTCCATTTCATACACACCCACACTATGGACATGTAGTCACTTCTCAATTCATGACAAAAAAAACAGATTAGTGCAGAATTTTAAATATACCTTAACAGGACAGCTCTCTTCAAGTCCTGATTGTATCAAATATTCAAAATGATAAACATTTCGGTCAGTTTGTTTTGCAATTAGAGTTCAGTTATTTTTTATAGAACTGACAAGAATAGGTTTGTCTGAAGCATGTCTACGGCATAATGCATCTATGCAATGTATGCATACTCATCAGCAGACGCTGTACGTTCCAAGTACTGCTTGTCTATAAGGATTTCTGTACACTTCTTAATCATGCTGACACTGGGTGAAAAGCGTGCCTTGGCCTGACTTATCACCTGCAACAAAGATACAACCAAAACAATTGTTGGTTACCAAGGAGTATTTCCAATGTGAATGAATTTCTATAAAGCGGTTACTGAGAACAGATACAGAAATACAAGCAATTTACATGTCATTTAAATAGTGAACATCAATCAATCAATCAATCAGAAGTCTGTGTGCAAAGAAATGGTGGCCAGGTCGAAGACTGAATCGTGCATGCATGAAGTGCAAACGTTGCATTCCCTCATGACGAGTACCATTAGGCTTAATCATTGACTTGTAAGGTCATGTTGTTGTTAATGTTTTGAGGAAGGCGCAACTTGAGTCCAAACTTGGTGGGCCTGTGGAGGACTAAGGGTTAATCCAATTTTCTTGAAAATTTGTGAGCAACAAAGCACATGCCTAAACTCCCCTACCACGGTGTTTGATTATGTTTTAACCATTTCACTCTTGTGCGCAAGCCAATTCAAATCTGGTGAAAGTAAATAGCTAGTGTTCACTCATGCGGAACAGCTGAAGATTGACATGGTGGCAATTGAAGCGTAAGACCTTGGTCCATCAATATTTAGTGACAGATTTTTGAAAAATTATAAAACATCCTTTTTTTATACATTTCTCTAAGTGTATACTTTTTTTTGATACAGCCTGTAGAGTGCGTTCGATTCCTTCCCCCACGCTTATTCGTGCAAGCGCGACAACGTTCGTTTGACCTCTCACGTGACTTCTGCGCCGCTTACTCAAGCCTGGCCCAAGTAACCGACTTGCCGGGCCGGTTAGTTGGGTATCCCATAAGGCCATGCAATAAACATGGCTGCCAACGTGACATCCAACGGGCGCCTCAGGCCGTGTGCTTCCAGAGCTACAGCTACGTCTATAGTCAGCCCGTCCCTGCGTATTTTCAATGGGCGTGGACCTAGACCTAGCTCTAGACAGTTGATTCGGATATGCAGCCTCAGTGTCATGTCAAAGTTCATCTTTCCAGCTCTTGCACGAAACTTTAACCAAAACTATTTGCTTATTTAGCTCCACTGCACATGCTCCACTGCGCATGTCTGTCATCACGCGAGGAGCCAGACGCGAGTAAGCTGGGGGAAGTAATCGAACGCACTCAAGGTATCAGTGGCAAGCTGAATCATCCTTTAATATGAAACCACTTTGACAGTGTTCAAGTTTTTAACTTTCACATACAAACCCATTATTTTCTGTTTACCGTTTTGTTTTACTCCCTCTTTATCAAGTAACAAGATAAGAAGCAGGAACGACTTTGAATAAGTTGCACATGAACATGAGGAATGATTGTTGTAAACCAAGATTTAACAATGCTGCTATTACTGATATCTTCTTCTGTTTCTTGGTTTTGTAGCACTCCTACAGTGTAGAACGTTGAGTTGTGATGGATCATTTCATGAGTCAACTTAGCAGAAGTTTTCAAGCTATTCTTATGCAACAGAAGTCCACTTTGTTATCCCAAGCAATTGTCTCTCACATCCCTTAACACTTTTAAGTAACAATTTCGATAAAAACATTTATCTGCTCAACCACTCAAGCTCATGTGATTTTTCAAGGTGCAACCAAATTTCTTCAATATAAGTGATTTACTTCCGACTTCTTGCATAGTTGCATTAAACATAGTATTTTCATGTACACATTTGTATCACAATCGCATTGAAGTCCATTCACACCCCACCTAAATTGTGTTTATTTTTTCCCTAACTGGAGTATTTCTTGCCATGTCACCGCCTGATAGAGCGATCAAACTTACCTCTTGAATAAGTATATTATGTTTCAGCTGCTTCCTGGCTTTCATGATCCGTACAATAGCAGCCTGTATGTACAGCTTACGATCCTCATCTACAGCTACATGGGTCTGTTCAACTTCCTACAATGACAAGAAATAGTTAAGACATTCACTTTTGTTTTTCTTTTTGTAATACCTCAAACACAGATTCTGTCTCTAAGACCTTGACACATGGTATATGCCATTAGTACAATTATACCATGCACAGCCAAAAACAAAGATTACACCACGGCAGCCTTGCTCAGAAAAGAACTTTATATGTAGCAACTAATGTAGACAACAGAAGTCTGTGTGCACATATGGGTGTGTAATGTGATGAGATGGTGCCAGAATGTCATCAGGGGATAGTTTGGAAAAGTACAAGTAAAATACACTCAAACTGAAATAGAAATATATTTGTATAGAATTTTGGTTCAACTATTCAGGTATCTCCCCAGGCGTAGCCAGGAATTTTAACAGAGCAGAGGTGGGCCAAGTCTGACCGGCCTTTTCAAACCCCAACCGACATCTCTTAACTTTTGTATATGCGAACACACAGAGTGCGAAGCCCTAACGGCATGGGTTCCGGGGCCCGCTTAAGGGCCCAGGAAATTTTAGATTCTAGATGCTCTGTGGTGCAATCTGAGGCATTTCCTGGCCACTTTCTTCTGACTCTTTAAATCAAATTTGCTCTTGTTTATTTATTGATGTTAACCAGTCAAGAATCTGTGTGACAAAAAAGTACGAGCCCAAACTTGATAAAAATGTAGAAACTTTGATTTTAAGAACCATACCATACTTTCGTACCATACTGTCAATGGGGGCGCTGTTCAAATCCGACGATTATTAAGTCCGAAATTTCTGACTTATGAGGCGTCAGACCTATGAGGCGTCAAACTTATGATATGGCCCTGGAGCGGGGGGAGGGGGGGGGGGAGGGGGGGTTGCATTTTTTTCATGAATTTCTATGGGAAAAAAAAAAACATTTGACAGAGCTGGGGGGTGTTTGACCCCCCCCCCCTCTGGATCCGCGCCTGAACAACTACATGCAAGTGTACATCGTGTCAACACTTGCGCGCACCCATTCACGGATTCCAACTTCTAACGGAAATTTCCAAAAATGCATCACTTGATGGTCAGTCATATTATTAGACATGACCAACCATTCTTTTCAGAATTTATCACTTGTCATTGAAATTATGAATACCATTTTCCAGTTCAACTGGACCCCAGTAATTTCACTGCCTTATACCCTATAGACGCGTCTGACACATTATCACTGTACACTCATGAGGCCCCCTTCAATGGAAAAAGCATTAAGTATGCTATTGTATAAAGCAACTGCTCTGTGATGGATTACCTAAACAATAGCTAGCACATGCCTCCGCTATTGAAATGACAGTTGAGAAGCAGATTGTGCTTTATCAGCAAAGTGAACTCATTTTGAGTTGTTTCAACAATAACAAAGTCAGGCCATTCCTTTTCAATTCTCTGCCTCTCATCTTTTGTGGCCCTTGACCTAAGATCAGTCTGTCAGCCAAAATTGAAAATCTGGGGGAAAAGCAATTTGCATGTTGCACCTGTGTAGAAAGCCAAATAGACTGCACCAAAAAGCGTATTGAGCACTTTTGTCTCTTATTTTGTTTACTGTTTACACCCTAACCAGATTATTTTTTCCTTCAGGTACTCGTTTACAAATTACTTACATGTACTATGTCTTCTCAGACAATGAAAAAGAAAGGTTTTAAATGTTGTTTGTGTGGAAGTTTCAAAATGAAAAGCAGGCAACAAAACATATTGCACTTTTCTGACACTCGCGAATGTTCCAGTTTACAATATTTAGCCAAGCTCAATGTACACATGTGCATCTGGATGTGGTAGTGTTATTATGCAGATAAACAATCTGAACAGCACATTTACAGGCAGTGGTGTAACTAGGGTTGGGCTTCTAGGTGGGCACATGCAGGTGCACCAATTATTCAAGGAGGGTCACTGAAGGTAATTCATACACAATTTTTGCGTGCAATTCAAGATTTCAAATGGGGCGAGGGGCACGGTGGGGAGGGGCATGTGCCCCCCACCCAGGTGCGGTTCTAGAGCCAATATTTTGGGGGGCTAGCAGGGCAGATCCAGAATTTTTTTCAGGGAGGCGTGCTGAAATGTAGACCGGTTATTTTCTTCGGACACTTAGGCCTCCGAAAATTAATGGGGGGGGGGGGGGGGGGGGCTCGTGCCGTATTTTCAATGGGGAGCGGCAATTAAATCCTACAATCAGGCACACTATATTAACTACAAATGCACCCTTGTCACAACTTTTTTTTTATGAGGGGGACCGTTCGTATGTACGTCACGTCCTTCTTTTTGCTAATGCAATTTTTTTTTATGGAATTTTTTTTTGGGGGGGGGGGGCTAAAGGCCTCCCAGCCCCCCCCCCCACACCCCCGTAGAACTGTCACTGCCCCCACCCCCCAATGCGCAAACCCCACATGCCCCATCAAATGTTTAAGACCGGCCACGTGACAGGCTCTCGCTAATAGGAATGGGTAAATTGCCTTAGGTATTTATGAATGGAGATTAATTATATACAGGAAAACTAGGAGATACGGTGGTGTGTGGTGAGGCACCTACCTGTGGCGTGTCTTTCTGGACAGCTGTAGTTATCTTGAACTTTGTTCTCTTATTACTGTAGTTCATGTTTAATACATAGCTGGCACTGGTATCAAGGTCATCCTGGCAAATAGATCACAATATATTAAATTTGCATATTAGTCAGTGGTTACCAACTCCCCCAACTAATCCTGATAGGATAATAAATAATATCAAACATATCTACAGATGACAAAACTAAACAAAATGAAACATAAAACAGAATTCTTGTGTGTTCAGTTTGAGGCATATCCAATGATGCTTTGGCCATCTTTGGCCTTTCCTTGTTATGGTATCATTGCATTGATTGTTGGATGATTACATGATGTAATACCTTCGGCAGTGTGCAATGAAATGTGCAGAACATTTTGAAAATGTAAAAATATTTTTTATAAATAATACCAATCACATAACTTGGAGTTACATGTATAGGCTGTAAATATTTAACAAAACCTACATCAAGATGATGTAATGGGTTACATTTACACTTTTTACACTTTTCCAAAGATTTCTAATTGTTAAACAATCAAGTTTCAGGTTTCCTGCTCTTTTCAAGTAAATGAATTCTTCATATTTGCATAATGCTTTGTGCCAGATTTTTTTTTTCTGAAATGAACCTTTCAATTCAATTCAATTCAATTCAATTTATTAATACCTGTCGCGTAAAAAAACATCAAAATTGTTTTCCAGTGTGCATTGTACATGTACAATAAGACCACAGATTTTTTGAATGTAAAATACATAAATTTGATGTAAAAAAAAAGGTACCATAAGATATAACACAATGACAGAGACAACATTTACAGACAAAAATTACAAGGTTTTCATCCAGTAAATAACAACATAGTAAAAGACACAATTAAAAAGAGTCCTTCACAAAAAAAACGTGAGTGGATGCCAGCATACCAGGGAAAAAGGACAAGACAAAAAACAGGGGATTATCTTTTGAATTGAGTTTTGAATAGATGGCATGCATTTGGCAAGAATGACATTCTGAAGCACTTAGTGCGGGTTGGTGGAGGGCGAATTCTTCCTGATTTGTTGACAACCACTGAAGAATGGAGCGGATGGGTAGGATCTTGCATTATGTCTTGTAGCTTAGAGATAATTGCAGATTCAAACATACAATGTAAATCCTTAATATCCAAACCACATAGACCATCCAACGAAAGTGCCAATGTGTGATGAAACACAAAACCAGATTTGAGTTCCATTATAACCAGATATATGGTAGGATCATTGACAGGTATTATAACATTATCAATTTGTTGAATTTTTGTAAACTTATTTGCATTTCATAACAAATCAACTGTAACAGCCTTTATAAGATGGAATTTTGCGTCGGGGTGATATAAATCAAATTAGGTTTTGCCCTTCACCAACATTTTTTAAACACTGTATACTCAGTGTGTTACCTCCCGAGTGAAAGTTGGAAAAAATCACTCGGGTGGGACTCGAACCCACGACCTCCTGCTTTCTAGTGCAGATGTCTTACCACTCGACCACCGAGCTAACGGGATCGGGTGGCCGGTTCGAATCTGATGTACATAGCAGCGGGTACCGCATAAACTATTATAAGATGGAATTTTGCATCGGGGTGATATAAATCAAATTAGGTTTTGCCCTTCACCGACGTTTTTTAAACACTGTATACTCAGTGTGTTACCTCCCGAGTGAAAGTTGGAAAAAATCACTCGGGTGGGACTCGAACCCACGACCTCCTGCTTTCTAGTGCAGAAGTCTTACCACTCGACCACCGAGCTAACGGGATCGGGTGGCCGGTTCGAATCTGATGTACATAGCAGCGGGTACCGCATAAACTATTATAAGATGGAATTTTGCGTCGGGGTGATATAAATCAAATTAGGTTTTGCCCTTCACCGACGTTTTTTAAACACTGTATACTCAGTGTTTTTAAACACTGTATACTCAGTGTTTATGCGGTACCCGCTGCTATGTACATCAGATTCGAACCGGCCACCCGATCCCGTTAGCTCGGTGGTCGAGTGGTAAGACATCTGCACTAGAAAGCAGGAGGTCGTGGGTTCGAGTCCCACCCGAGTGATTTTTTTCCAACTTTCACTCGGGAGGTAACACACTGAGTATACAGTGTTTAAAAAACGTCGGTGAAGGGCAAAACCTAATTTGATTTATATCACCCCGACGCAAAATTCCATCTTATAATAGTTTATGCGGTACCCGCTGCTATGTACATCAGATTCGAACCGGCCACCCGATCCCGTTAGCTCGGTGGTCGAGTGGTAAGACATCTGCACTAGAAAGCAGGAGGTCGTGGGTTCGAGTCCCACCCGAGTGATTTTTTCCAACTTTCACTCGGGAGGTAACACACTGAGTATACAGTGTTTAAAAAACGTCGGTGAAGGGCAAAACCTAATTTGATTTATATCACCCCGATGCAAAATTCCATCTTATAATAGTTTATGCGGTACCCGCTGCTATGTACATCAGATTCGAACCGGCCACCCGATCCCGTTAGCTCGGTGGTCGAGTGGTAAGACTTCTGCACTAGAAAGCAGGAGGTCGTGGGTTCGAGTCCCACCCGAGTGATTTTTTCCAACTTTCACTCGGGAGGTAACACACTGAGTATACAGTGTTTAAAAAACGTCGGTGAAGGGCAAAACCTAATTTGATTTATATCACCCCGATGCAAAATTCCATCTTATAATAGTTTATGCGGTACCCGCTGCTATGTACATCAGATTCGAACCGGCCACCCGATCCCGTTAGCTCGGTGGTCGAGTGGTAAGACTTCTGCACTAGAAAGCAGGAGGTCGTGGGTTCGAGTCCCACCCGAGTGATTTTTTCCAACTTTCACTCGGGAGGTAACACACTGAGTATACAGTGTTTAAAAAAAGTTGGTGAAGGGCAAAACCTAATTTGATTTGTAACAGCCTTATTAGTGAGGTACCTTAGTGAAAAAATCTTGACACAGTGGACAAAAGCACCATTTTTTCACCAAAGCATCTCCATGGTATACCTTTTCGAAAAATAGACGGACGCAAAAAATTGGATGATGGGAAGGGCACGTATGACGTCATTATGACGTCATCAGCTAATCATTACATGGAATCTATATAAATTGATAATATCTTCTGAACTACAAACATCACAACAACAAAAGTCGCATCAAATGAAAGGGAACAACAGGATCTTTCATTTAAGTGGTATGTCAGGGGCGTGGAATGTGGTTAAGGGTGGTTTTTGGGGCCAAAAAGCACTTTTTTTGGTCAAAAAACCTGATTTTTGGCTAAAATCATGTATTTTTGTTTGGCACCTTGTTTAACATGCAAACCGTATTTGTTATTGTGAGATTTTGTTTTTAAGTCAGAGAAAAAGGTTCAAATTCTATGCCAAAAGAGTTTTTGCAATTGATTATTATTTTTTATAATTGATTATTAGTATCTTAAATGCTTACACTTGTTCCTTAGATAGGTGGAAAAACTGCAGTTACCGTAAGGAAAGTTATCACCATTTTAGGGTATGGGCCAAAATGGGACTTAAGATTTCCTGTATTACCTTGATAAGGCCCAAAAAAATAGTTCTGCTTCCCATTACATGGCATTTGAAAACAGGGTTGGTAGGTAAGGATTTTTTTGTTTGTGTACAATCATATATAGAGGCGTCTGCGTGTAGTCAAGGGTGAAAGGGAGAAATTGATTGTTTTGGGTTCTTTTTTTCTCATTTTCCTTAAAACAAATTAGGGTAGGGGCTGTCAGAATAGGGTAGGTAGGGAAACCGGAAGCAGAACAGTTTACTATCATTTTTCTTTGGCCTAATACATAGTTTAGTTACCAGGAAATAGATGGTGTGCATTACTTTTATCAATGCATGCCCAGTTTGAGGAGACTTTTGAATCAAGACCTCCAACAAATCATGCATAGGCCTACGTTCTTTTTATATATCGAAAGTAAAAAAGCTTAAACTGTTGTGCAACAGCCCACAAATAAAAGCTAACCACTTTGTATTCAATATGTTGAAATTGATTTTTGAAACAATGCATTTAGTGGTGAGACTCCTATTTGCGTCTCAAAGTGCCTGAAAATGTAAAGTTGTCGTGGAATCGCCCATAAACAATGAGAATAAGTCAGAAGTAGGCCTAATCCATTTGGGGTCAAATCGGTTAGGATGTACTGGGATGAAATGGAGAAATGAGCAGCCCTATCTCCACTGAAATACTCCATTGCATAGCACAGCGTCTCAACATTAGCCTCTTCCAATAACATTCTAAGGACCAGGGCTACGAGGAACTCAACCAGTGTTGTAGTCGAGGCCACAACCTCCGAGGCCGAGGCCAAGGCCGAGGCCACAACCTCCGAGGCCAAGGCCGAGGCCGAGGCCACAACCGCGAGGCCAAGGCCAAGGCCGAGGCCACCACGTCCGAGGCCAAGGCCGAGGCCGAGGCCAGCTATCAAAACACGTAATAAAATATAAATCACTAAAACAAGGCTAAGATTATGTTGGAGTTTTAACATCTTTTTAGTTGAATTCACTGAGTTTTGGAGTGCCTGGCTTACAAATTTACAGCTTGCAATGGGTTTCCTCTTGTAGGTAGTCCGGAGAATTTTATTTTTTAAAGAAAGAAATCTCAAGTTTTGTATCACTGAAAGCAAATTACACGACAAAATCAATGGCGTTTGAATCAGGCTCATAGGTGTTTGCCCTTTGGAGATACAACAATTTAAATGGCCAAATTTTGAGTTTCTATTTTGTAAGATTTACATCATTTACTTTTAGCATGTTTTATAAATCTTATTTTCAAAACCTATCAAAATGCTTAATATCATAAGAATCCCCATAATATAAACAACAACTTGATTTTTGAATCAGGATTTTACCACTCATAACCAAAAAGTTACGACCCCCCCCCCCCCCCCGACTTTCGCACTGTCCAGGCGCGCGCAGAGCAAACACCGCGATGCGACCAGACAATGCCAGACAGCCCGCCGTTACGCACGGGCAAAGCATAGTTCCAATCCCGCTCCACACAACGGGATAAGTGTCCACGCATTATCACTGTTAATACCGCTAGTCAGGTGGCTTATGGTCGGAATCGTGACCGACTG